TCCCTTCTAATGTTCTTGACTTTTAATGTAAACCAAGGTTTAATGTTCGGTCTTCTATTGTGTGATACAGTACGTGTTCCTAAAGCTTCTTTAGCACCTTTGCAGATGTTTTCTTTCAGTTTGTTCCAAGCTGTGTTCAGAGTATCAAACTGTACTATGGGGTTAAGAGTGACATGTGTTTGGCATCTGTTTGAATAAAGTTGTTTAGTGCTTTCGTGGTTGAGGGATTCTATATTGAATTTTTCAGTTTTTATCGATGGTCTTTTTTTGGATAGCGGCGCACCTATTCGTATCTTTCCTAGCACAAGTTTGTGATCTGTTCCAATGTTGGCTGAGGATAAGACTTTTATGTCTATTATTTGTTTAGGTAAGAAACTTCGATTGGTGATGAACCTGTATCAAGGAAGTCTTTGCTGCAAACTCTGCGATAAAGATCCTGAAACAGCGGAGCACATAATATGTCATTGCGAGGCTCTAGATCGCAAACGACACTTTTTATTTAGGACAGCTAGGCTAGAACCGGAGGAACAATATGCTCCCATCCTATCAAGGACCTGCATAAGTTAGTGCAGGGCACAGGGATAGGAGAATGGGTACAGATATAGGAATGGGATAAATGCAATAGGCCTCACAGGTCGCAATGTTTCCGGCAGAGGACGGCCCCATGATATTGAAAAAAAAATCATCTTTACCAGTTATAACAATTATCCTGAATAACATAATGTTTTTAATCACTTTATTCTGATAAACATAATCTCGAAATGACACATTGTTTGAAATAACAAAACCTATTAAAGTAACCTGCAATCTTTAAATTTATTAATGCGATTGCAAAGTTTCGCAATTAGTCTTTATCATTTTCATTTCCATTGAACAATGGGACATGTCATGACGGAAAATAAGAATAATAATAAAAATGTCCATTGAAACGACACCAATCACTGTTTCAGAATGGACAGACAGCAAAACCAGCTGTATTTGTATATAGATGTCTTCGAGAGACAACGGTAGTTTGAAAGTGTTACGCTGGATGGCATTAGTCATCTGCACCAACATATGGAGTGGTCAGAATTAAAACGAACCAAGTCTAATTTCCTAATATTTTAAGATAATCGTGTCTGTATACGTTAATAAAATATTGTTTTTTCCAGTAGAGAAATGGAATGAAGTCATACTTCACGCATTAAGCAGTTATAGCCCTAGAGATTTGGGAAAGAAAAATACTGAGGAAGATTTTTGGAGGAAAGAAGATAGACAAGAAATGGACCAGAAGAACAAATGAAGAATTAAAGCAACTATATCGGGCAGGGAGTATAACATGAGTAGCAAGAGCACAAAGACTGAGATGGCTGGAACATATTGAAAGAATGGCTGAAGCAAGAATTCCTAGTATGATAATGAGACGTGAAATAGGTGGAAAGAGAAGGAGGGGTAGACCGAGAACCAGATGGAAAAAGGATGTTGAAGAGGACTTGAGAAGGATAAAAGTGGATGGGTGGAGAATAAAGGCGAAAGACAGAAACAAATGGAGAAAGATAACCAATGAAGTCATGAGCCTTTTAGGCTTTTAGAACTATTGTATACCGGGTGTTGCATCGTCGGACGGGACATAGGAAATCCCATGTAAATTTTAATGGGGTCAATTATTGGCTTCCCTAATTATTTTAGAGAATAATTCTATTTAGGTTTATTGAAGAGCACTAAAACCCATATTCAAAAGAATAACTTTAGATATTTTCGATTAGCTCGTTTGCGAGTTATCGCCGATTTCTTTTTAAATATTTCTCCTTTCTTATGGCCCTCTATTTACTTATGAGCACCAGTCAAGGTAAAAGATAACTGTCAAATGAAGTTGTCATTTCAGAAATTTACCTATATAGTGCTTTATTATTATTGAAAACTCATTCCTACATCGGAAATCTTAAAGATGTATTTATAAATACAAATTAATATGAATTAAAGTAAAATAAAGTAATCAATTACAAGGTTAATTATAGTATTATTACAATATTCAATAACTTATTAATTTAGGTACTATTAAATTGTTAGAACTTTAGGATTTAAGAAGATGTTCAAATATTCCTCCATCGACTGCTAGACAATAACCCAGGTGATCATAAAATTCTCTTCTTACATTCGCTAGTTGGTAAACTGAAATTCTATTGCATTCGGCAGAAATAGCATTTTTTAACTCGTCTAGATTTGGGTATTTTTTATCCTTGTATATCCTGTTTTTTAAATGGCCCCAGAGAAAGAAATCATTTGGCGAAAATCAGGAGACCTTGCTGGCCAATTTACTGTATGATTTAGGCCAATAACGTTTCCGTTAAAACTATTGTCTAAATATTCCCGAACAGCTATAATGTGCCGGGCAGCCATCCATTTGGTACCAAACTTCCTGATTTCCCCTAGCGGCATCATGTAAAGCAGGTAAAATATGATTTTCGAGTAGTTCCAAATAATATTCTGCATTTAAATTTCGCGTAAGATATAATGGCCCGATAATATTGTGTCCGAATATCCCTGCCCAAACATTTACTTTCTGTGGATATTAAACCTGTGTTGGTTTTCTTTGTTCCAATATCGATAATTTTGAACATTGGGTTCATTATTTAAGGTAAACGTGCATTCTTCAGTGAAACATATGTTTTTTAAAAATTCCCTATCCATGTTTGCTCTTTCCATCATATCAAAACCAAACGCCTGCCGCCGTATTTCGTCCCCATCTCGTAGCTCTTGGTGCTTTTCATATTTGAAGGAATAGTGTTTATGTCGTTTCAAAATTCGAACCGCTGTAGTGTGATCTATTCCTATTTCATCCTCAAGTTTCCTTGTGTTGATCTTTCCATCGTTCTCTTCCACGCACAATAAAACTTCCAAGTCGGTATCATTTCTTGCATCTTCTCTTTGTTCCTGCCTTGCTTCACATCTGCAGTTATTTATTAGGGTACCTTTGGTCTCAAATCTCTGGATATTCCTTGCGATTGTAGATTTTCCAGGTATCGGTCTATTCGGATACAGAGCAGCAAACATGTGCGACACCTTTTGATAACTATTTCCTTGATAATACCATTTGATCATCAATACTTTTTCTTCGGTAGTTTAATTCATGGCTAATATTTTCGATGTAGGTATGAGTTTTTAATAATAATAATAAAGCACTAAATAGATAAATTTCTGAAACGACAACTTCATTTGACAGTTATCTTTTACCTTAACTGATGCTCATAAGTAAATACAGGGCTATAAGAAAGGAGAAATATTTAAAAAGAAATCAGCGATAACTCGTAAACGGGCTAATCAAAAATATCTAAAGTTATTCTTTTGAATGTGGGTTTTAGTGCTCTTCAATAAACCTAAATACAATTATTCTCTAAAATAATTAGGGAAGCCAATAATTGACCCCATTAAAATTTACATGGGATTTCCTAAGTCCCGTTCGACGATGCACCCGAGGTTCGTTCCAACTGGACCGAGAACCGATCCTGGGACGGTAATTTCTAGTCGTCCACTTATTGTTTGAAAAGTTTGATCGTTTCTCAAGATTAACAAATGAATTGACTGATAGGAAATTACCGTTCTAGGACGGTTCTCTCGTCCGGTTGGAACAAACATATTGTCAGCAGTTAAATATTAAATATGCTTCTGTTAAATGGCGGTCTAAGAAATATAATAAATAGTTAAAAAGTTTGAATAAACGTAGCATTCCCAATTTTTAGCTTCGACGTTTTTTAGGGGCTAAAAAAATATTGAGGAACAGCGAGCCGAGCAGCGAACAACCGTTACATTACAGCGTTCGTTACACGCCAATCTCCGCATTTACGTTACGTATGAATGAAATTCTGCACACCTCTAAATAAATATCCTCCATTTTCTCAACTTTGTATTTATTATGCAGCGCATACGACACAGATAAACAAGCCGGGTTTAGCGACATGGCTTGTAAAAGTGCCTTGCCAACATTTTCCGAAAAATCTGTCATAAATTAAGCGTGGGTGACATCTAGGCTGTCGCGTTTTGGCAATGAGCACCGCAATGGGCGGGTACTACAACGGTAGGACCGGTTAATATGTTTTATTATTCGTCAACGATAGGTGGGAAATAATATGATTTACGAGAATGGGAGAGGATTATTCCATCAAAAACACTTAAGGCAAAAAAATTGAAAAAGTAATAAATTAAAAAAAAATCTTTTTTACACATAAAAAATAGTTTTTTACGTGTAGTAAATAGTTTTCTACGTGTAACAAATAGTTTTTTTTACATTAGAGGACCTTTTTACATAAAAAAGTCCTAGCTTTAATTTTCATTTCCTGCAATTACTGAATCTATAAGGGTAAAAGAAGTACCACCAATAGTAGGTACTCTCCACCCTAATGGAAGGTATCAAGGTTGTTACGGAATTTTACACTATTCAAACTACCAAATTTCAAGAAAAATGGTTTACCAATGTTCTTAAAAATAAACAAAATACAGGGTGGCGCCTCTCATACGCCGCGGAAGCTCCAAGGAGAACGGTAGTTTATATCGAAATAAAATTTTGACAGCGACTGTAGGTTAACTGAAAGCATTTTATAATAATATATAGAATTATACAGGGTGTCCCCGAAAAAAGTTACACATCAAAGTTGTGTTTTTTCTAATGGAACACCCTATATATTAATTGATTTTCGGATTCTAGGAAAAAAATAGAGGTGAGTTTTATTAAAGAAGCATATACCTAAAATTTAAGGATTTTGACATATTTCACATTTTGTGAAAATGAAGAGTAAATTTTAAATTGCTACACTGCATTCTGCATTCACCAAAACTAATAGAATCATATCAATTCTCTCTGATGTAGGATAAGTTTGCATTTTCGGCAAATTTCTGAGATTTTTTTTTTGTTTTAAACTGACACAAAATGATAACTAGTTGTTAAAGATGGACTAATTAGAAAGCTTTAATAATTTTTTTACATTTATTGACTCAAAGTAAAAAACACAACTTTTTATCCATAGGGGTACCTCATATAACGAATGCAGGTACTGATATTCGTTGTAGCAGATAACCCAGTACCACTTCTATCACCAATAATCGAAGAATGAAGAAAGTGGTTCCAATTCCAAGCCAGTTAGACGGAAGATGTCCGAATGGCAATGTTGCGGTACTATCTTCATTTCTCGGTGTATTTTAGCGTCTTGTTTGTTGGGTTATTACGTCACGTACGGCCGATTCCTGTTGCCCCACGTACCGGAAACAGTGCATCCACCTCTTCCTGATCATGGTAAATACCAAAACACGAAAATCCGGGATGTTTTATGAATTTGTTTGTTTAAAAGTGCGGTGCAAGTCAGTTTTAGTTATGTAGTCCTAAGAATGAGTTCTAGGTGGGAAGTTTTCCAAAGTGTATAGTATAAATTTGTAAATTTTATCATTCAAATTATACTACAGTATGTCCTCGGATTATCTTTACAAGAGCAAAAGCTTTTTTATTATTGATATTTTGAGAAAAATGCTTTTTTCATTCTTCATAAAAAAATGTGCTTGTTCTAAAACGGTTAATCCCGTTTATACTTTTCAAAATTTACATACAGTCAAGCGAGGCTTTAGGGGAAGGGTAATGAAGGTACTACTACCCCCTCAGAACGATCAAACTTCAAAAAAATAAGTTTTTAACATGTAAAAATTAGTTTTTTTTGTGAAACAAATAGTTTTAAAAGCAAACATATGTTTTTACACGCAAAAAAACTATTTTTTTACGTGTAAAAAACACACGTAAAACTTTTTTATAAAACCGCCCTTGCATACACTGCATAAATGCACACTGCAATCACCAATAATTAATAGAATCTTATTATTTCTCTCTGCTGTAGGATAAGTTTCCATTTTCGGCAAATTTCTGAGAATTTAACTGATAAAAACTGATAACCAAACGATAAATTTGAACTAATTTGACAGCTATGTTGCAGGATCGTCAGGCATATCACAATCACCTAGATTTTATCAAATAATAAAAATCTACTATAATAGCTGACACTAAAAGTCATAAACATGAAAATATCTACGAAAATCTTTGTTTGATGGATAGGCAACCTTAACAGTATATTAAAGAGACATGGAATTTCCCATTGAATATCGGAATAATATACTGGGTGTTCCATTTAAAATAAAAGAGTAACTTTTGTCTTTAAAAGTGACCAATGTTCAATATTAATTTGTCTCATCCTGTATAACTTTTCCGGTCAAGTTTTAATTTGTTTTAAAGTAGAATGGTTATTTTAACCGTCAATTAGGTTATACCGGGTAAATTCCAATTTAGGTAGCTTCAATAGAAATTTAAAATGTGTTCTCCATTTTCAGAAAATATTAAATATGTCAAAAACCGGGGGGGGGTACATTTTAGTCATATACTTCTCCAATAAAAGTCACTTTATTTTTCACCTAGAATCTGAAAATCAATTAATATATAGGGTGTTCCGTTACAAAAAACACAACTTTGATGTGTGGCTTTTTGAGGGAACACCCTGTCGAACTATGCATATTTTTAAAAAATGTCCTAAATTAACCTACATAAATATGCTCAAAAAATTTCATTTCAATACCAACTGTTGTTCTCATTGAAGCCTTCGCGTCGTTGAGAGGCACGACGGCACCACCCTGTATTTGCAACAAACTAGGGAATCCACCTATAATAAATTATGCTGGTCTAATGTAAAACAAGTAAAGTGCAGAATAAGGATGTTTTTTATAATTTTTATAAACAAATTCAGAGATTATAAAATATCTACTTTTAAACTTTTTAAACAATTAAAAATAAGTGTTTGCTTTTATTAATTTTGACTAATTTTTACAAAATAATATATTAAAAATCAACTTTTATGTAATTCTGTTTCAATTCAATAAATACACACACTAATAATTTTAATAATTAACTATAATTTTATTGTTTACTTTTTATTTTCGCATTACGTTAATTTAATTTAATTTTCATGACCTTATACTATAAACCAAACCATTATTATTAACAAAAATACGATTATATTAATTATTTACAGTTATATTTAAATCTAATAATAGCTGGATCCAAAAGAGGCATATAGGAATGCTTAAAATGACAACAAAAAGTTATTAAATTGATATGAATAATATTAAACATTGTGTACCTGAATTTCCTGATCAAATTTTACTGAAAAAGTCGTTTAAACCGTTTAAACAAGAATGTTTCTTTATATTTATGCATGAAATTTTCACAAAACTATGAATTCAGTCAGCTCAAAGCATACCTGCTCATTTTGCTCAAATGAAACAAGTACAATATTGTCTCATTAACCAAATGAGACAGATATAGAATAATTACTAAAATAAACAATAAAAAATAGTTTCATTTTTAGCAATAATCTTGAAACAATTATTATAACCTTGTCATGAATACTAAAATCTTTCAGTCGAAGTAATGAATATCACTGGAAACAGCACAGATGCTGAAATAGATCCTGAAACATCTCCAGGATTGTTCCAGGGGGATATGGCGATGGATAACGATATTTACAGGTTTTGGAGAGTAGGGATAAGGTGGGATACCTATCCAGACAAGCTCTGGAAGAATGCTATCGTACCATACACCATTAGCCCACTATATGGTAAGCCTAACCGTCAGAAAAAATATTTCTATTTTAGTTGTATCTATAATCAATACAAAACCTATGTAGATTTTAGTAATAAGAGCTAGTACTATCAAAAAACGATTGTAAAAAAGTTTACATACAAAATGTGTAAAATAAATTGATTTTTATTGATTTTCCAGAACCAAGCGACCAAGTAACGATTATGAAAGCAATCAGGACGATAAATTTCATGACATGTGTCAGATTTGCGCCCTGGGATGGTAAAGCCAAAGATTACCTCTTGATATGGCCCATAAAGTATCCAAAAGGGTGCTGGTCATTTGTGGGTAAGTCAGTTTTGAACATTTCTTCAGAAATAATACAAACAATGCTAAAGTTAATCAAATTAAAAAACAGTAATTTCGAAAAGTATCGATATTTAAAAAAAATCGATATCGATATATATTACTCATCCCTACTGAAATTCCATTATCTAAATTTCCGTTAAATATATTTGTTAAACAAATATTTTAGACTTGGATTGGTTTGACTAGTATTGCAGAAATAATGTAAACAATGCTAAAGTTAATAAAATTAGAAAAATAACAATTACAAATAAAATCGATATTTTATATCGATATTTAAAGGTATCGATAACGATATTTTTATATATCGATATCTGTTACTCGTTCCTACTCAAAATTCTACCATCTAAATTTCTTTTTAATTTACATTACAAATATACCATTACAAAATATACCATTTGCAAAAATTATGCTAACAATGGGCAAATTTGTTAATGAAATTAAAACAAAATAATACTGAAAAACCCGATTTTTTAAATTATCAATATTTAAAATACTGTTACACCTCCCTATCGAAAATTCGATTACTTAAATTTCCGTTAAAATGTATTTGCTAAACAATTATTTTAGGTAGATTTGGAGGTGCCCAAATTGTTAGTTTGCAGGCGCCCGATAAGACAAGCCCAAACTGCCTAGGCAGTGAAGGACGAGCCATCCACGAGTTAATGCATGCCTTGGGTGTGTTCCATGAACAGTCCAGATGGGACAGGGACAAATTTGTTAAAGTGCACAGCGACAATATCATCCCTAGTAAGTATTTAAACAATAATAAGTGACCAGATTTTGAAGCAAGTTATATTTAAAAGAATAATACTGGCGCATTTTGTAATGCTTACATAAAAAAGCATGAATGAGCTTCAGAAAACATTTATTTGGGTTAAACTTAAAAAAATATTTATGTATATAGCATTTTTTTAGTTAAAAACAAAAAACTTTATAATTGAAACCATAAAATATTATTACGGTATTAAAATATCGATATTAAAGACATCGATATCGACATTTTCATACATCGATATATGTTACCCATTCCTACTAAAAAAATAATCAATGCTCAAACTGTGTTAGTAATCACACCCTCATTTTTTTGATTACTAACGATACACCCTGTATAATTTATAACATTTGGATATTATACCGTATGATCGAATAAAAACGGCGTCAGCGATGACTATGAAATGAAGATCGCTGTCATTTTATATGTAAATTTATATAGGAAATGCCATCGATCGTCATTTCCAAGCCAACTGGACGCCGTTTTTATTCGATCATACGGTATTTATGTTTCTATTTTGACAGGATTTAAGTCAAATTTTGACAAGCAGAGCTTGGACAACACCACGTATAGTTTCGAGTACGACTACGACTCTATCATGCACTACGGCAAGAACTTCTTCAGCAAAAGCAAAGGAAAACCGACCATAACGCCAAAAATGGGACACTCGAAAAAAATTGGACAAAGAAAAGGGATGTCCAAAGGGGACTGTTTAAAACTAAACGATTTGTACGGATGTTTGGACAACCCTAGGTCCAAAAGAAAATATTACAATATTTGTAATTTTATGGGAATATAAAAAACACTTTTTAAATTAATTAATTTATTTATTTATCACAATTATATAAAATACGTTGTTATATATAATTCGTTTTTTTTCATTTCTTTGTCCCAGCTTTACCAAAAACGACAACCAATGGTTTGTCTTTTAGAATAAAACCATTGGTCTCATTGACAGCCTTTTGAGCCATTTCTACACTGTCCAAAGTGACAAATGCTTGACCTCTCATTCTGCCCTCTTGCATAAGTCTAATATTAAATTCACTAGGCCTATTTTCAGTCAGTTCTTCTCTATACCTGTAAAAAAATGATTATTTCTAACAAAAATACTAGCCTTCTTATTATATTTCAAGTATATCAGCTGATTACAAGCTTTACTTATACAATATTCAATTTAAAAAACCTATATCTCAAGATACCTGTTATAAATATATTCCAAATCTTGTAAAACCACAGTTTTGGCACAATTCTTAATATACAACTTGTTAGTTGGAGGTCCTGAATTGTAATTCTTGAAAACTGGCACACTACTAAAATCAGTTATTTGGTTAGCTGCCAGTTCCTCCAAAGAAATACAAGGGTAGTCATCTTCTGGAGAATCTGGGTCTTGAAGCCTTTCAGGCTCTGGATTTTGGACAGGCTGTATAAAAGAAATAAATATGAAATTTGAAAAAATACAGTTAAATTAAATATAATTACCTGTTCTTTAATTTCTACACTTTGTTTTTCATTAGATTCTTCTATGTTTTGATTATCACTCTTATCACCTGTTTTTTGAATTTGTTCATTGTCATTTTCCAATAATTTATGATCTGAAATGCATTATACTTAATAATAACTCAAAAAATTGTAAAAGAATACCTATAGAAACATTTTTCTCTGGTTTTGTAGGTTCTTTGTTAACTTCTTCTATTTTTTTCTGAGTTTCAACAGTCTTTGGTTGGTTTTCTGGTACATTTAAGACCAGTTCTTGAGGATTTATAACACTTTTATTCTCTTTTACAACATCTTCTAACACATTTTGTTTATCTACATTACTTTCTGATCTTTTATTATCTTCTAAAGAACCTGAACTCACTTTAATGTCAATCTTTTTTTGGGGCTGAACATCAACCTATTAAGAAAAACATTAAATGTATTTTAATAGTACACCTTTAAGCCGTTTAAAATAAAAACCTTCTCAAACATGTCACCATTTTTCCCTTCAACACTGCTAGGATTTGTTGTGGCTTGCACTACAGGCTGTTTTATAAATTTAGGTCTTTTAATAACCTTTTTCTGAGGCAATGTTCGTTTTTGTGGTATTACTTCTTTCACTTTACTTGATTCGCCATCACTCTCTAACTCAGACTCCGAAGATTCAGCTTTGTTTGTCACAGTTTCACTTGGTTTTGTTTCGATAACCGGATGCTGGGATGGATGTATAGTTCTAACAGGTGGGTTTGGCATAGCAAACGGTGGAGGTAAGTTCATCTTATTCATTAAATGAAGTACCTGAATATAAAACCTGGGAACCGTTGCTAAAGCGTGAGCTATATTATTTATTGTCGGTCTGTTTGCTTTCGGATAGTTATACTTCAAATGCGAAGGAGGAGGCTGATGGAAGCCCACGGTATCGTTAAAAGCGTTTATTTTATTAATAAAGGTTTTGAAAAACTTCTGATCTGGTAGGTCTTGTAAATCGGCTTTCTTATTTTCAAGAACGCCATGTAATATATCATTCTCCGCATATTCCACGCACAAAATACAGTTCAAAACGGTAATCTGGTGAAGTCTTAACAGTACGTTCTTTGCTATTTCTTCGGTTTCAAATTTTGCATAAACTACAGACTTCGATTTAGCTTTGGACGTTATTACCTTCGCTTTAATCGCTCCGAAATGTCTAGCAAAGTCTTCCTTTTGTGCGTCGGATAATTCTTTCGGTAAATGTTTAATCCTTAAAGTATTTTTACACACCATTTTTAAAAGAAAATTTAAAAACAAAACCGCAAAATTAACAACAAATAACTGAGGTTAGGGACACGTGACCGAATTTTCTTCTTTAATTATAAACGGGCTTAATGGCCGTTTAAACCAAGGCCGTAGCAAAGAGGATTCTGTGGCCATACTGTGTAAACAAAATCTGTGACAAATATTTGACATTTATAAAAATTGAAGGTTAATGATTTTTTATAAAATTTGAAATTTCTCTCAATAACAAACGGTACTAAAATCTGAGACAATATTAGACTAGAACTTTTATCTAAAACAAAGTTTCCTATTGTTTACTTTAACGACATTATGTATAACATAACTGGGAAATTTACGGAGAGTTTAATGTAAAGATTTCACAATATTATCCTTGAATGTTGTACTAAAAATACATTTTTCAGTCCCTGGCCTGAACGATTTTCTATTGTGCCTACATAATCAAAAAGGTAAGGTATTAATAATCTATTAAAATGTCTTAGTTTGACTTATAAATTCTAATTTAAATTAGATGGTAGGCTGGAGTAAATCAAATGAAAAACTCAACCAGTTTGACTTTGCCTTTGCCGGAGGGGCTTCAGGCTTCCTTACCAGAGCCGTATGTCAGCCTCTGGACGTTTTAAAGATAAGATTCCAGCTACAGGTCGAGCCTATCTCTCATCATCCACAACATGCCTCAAAATATAGGTAAACATCTCTTCAATTCATTTATTGGCACTGTTGACAAGATTCAGAAGAACCTCTTTTCATTTAGATCAATATTTCAAGCTGTGGAACTCATATTTAAGGAGGAGGGTATAAAAGCTTTTTGGAAAGGTCATATCCCAGCACAGTGGCTGTCTATCAGCTATGGTGTAGCACAATTTTGGGCCTTTGAAGTACTTAGCAGGAACGCTCATGCTTTAAATTATTCTCCTAAGATGAAACCGGTTGTTAATTTTACTTGTGGGTCTATTGCAGGTTAGTTGACCATTAAATTGATTAATTTTTATAAATAAATCAGACATATATTATCACATTAAGAAGCCTACTTGAAGCTAATGAACTTTATTTATTATTTTCAAAGTACTGATAAGGTAAAATTACTTAATTTAAAATGTCAACATTTTGATAATAAGTTTATTATTTTCCTCTTGAAAGAAATATTATTTTTATGTTATAATCTTGCAGGTAGTGTAGCAACAGTGGTATCATTTCCGTTTGATGTAGTACGAACAAGGTTTGTAGCCCAGAGCGAACAAAAAAAGGTGTACCATGGCATGGTAGCAGCTTGCAAGGAAATATGTGCTAAAGAAGGCCCTATAGTACTTTTTAGAGGCCTATGGCCCACAGTTTTACAAATAGGCCCCCATGCAGGTGCACAGTTTATGTGTTACAAACTATTCGACGATCTATACAGATACATTATAAAAACTGAAAATACTACGTTATCTAGTAGTTTGTTTGCTGGTAGTTTATCAGGTCTGTGTTCAAAAGCTTTTATATATCCATTTGATTTAGTAAAAAAACGATTACAAATACAAGGTTTTCATCATGCCCGTGAACATTTCGGTCAGACTTTTCATTGTAAAGGTTTGACTGATTGTTTTCTAAAAATCTACCATGTAGAAGGTTTTCCTGGGTATTTTAAAGGGTTGTCACCAAGTTTGATCAAGGCTGTATGCGCTACAGCACTACATTTTAGTAGTTATGAAATGGTTTGCAAACTGTTAGTAATTTCGAGAGACACTCATTGATTTCTGTTGGTAGAAAATACTTATTTAAGAATAATTTATTTAAATCAGTTTAGAGTTCATAGAAACCAAAAAACACAAGGCTGTGAGTTTTGCTGGATACACCAACATAAATACAATGCCCTGCCATATATATTTAATTCAAAAATTCAATTAACATTAATTTGTTTTTATCTTTAAGATTTTAATTCCTAGCCTGTTTAAATATTTTTATATTCAATATTTTGACAGAATTTGCACAGGTAGTAGCTTATGTTAACGTTAAAAGCTAAAAATATTCCATAAGAAGTTTTTATCTTTATTTTTTGTCTGGTGAAACAATTACACGCTTCACTGTTTATTTTTTTCTTTAAATTGTGAGATTAGTTATTTATTTCTAAACTATTATAAGATTGATATGGTTAGTTGTGATTGTATGTATATTATTTGCATTTTGCGCTTGATAAGAGGATATTGTTATTTATTTATGTTACTTATATTATATAAGACACTCTTCTAGTCATTTTTGTTCCTACGTGTTAAGTCAAATCGTTAAAATAAATATCGTAGGTTACTATGCAAGTTGTTTTATTTAAATTAATACCAAATTTAAGGTTTTTAAGTTTTAAAAAACATACGCCATAAATTTATGCAACCAGATAAACAGTATGCGTACAACACCATAGATTACGTGGCGCACTTCATGTTCAGTCATATATCACGATATAATTTTCTCTATCTTTCTCTATAAGTTAGAAAGAGAGAAACATTGCACCAAGGTGAATAATTAATAAAAATCACAGCCGAAAAGACGTTTCAGCGAGCCGCGTCATCAAAAATTTCACAGTCGACAGCGTTGGTGGTGGTGATTGGAAAATTCGTGGCAGTTTTTGTGTTTCAACAAACGGAAAGCATCAGAAAAACCATGGAAATCGTGACGGATTTAATGCAAAACCAACTGGTACTGCTAGTGGTACCTGTTGGCATAGCCATTTTGGGCGGAATTTTGCTGTTTACGTACGCAATTCGTCCAGTCCAACAGCCCAAATTCAACTTGAGCGCTTTCGACGATCGAAAAACAGCTGGGAAAAAGAAGAAATTGAAAGAAAAAGTAAGTTCCTGTCGAGTCACGTTTAATTACCATATCCTAATTAAATTAATTGATTATTTGCTAGCCCAATTTCTATTTTACCATATGTTTTCGTTCTGCCAAAGTATTTTTGTTTCTCATTTTGATCCACTCAATTTTACAAAAAATGTGCACCAAACACGTTATGTCAAAGTGATAAGGACACTTTTTAAACACAAACAATAGCTGATAGGGTAATTTAAATATTAATAGCCAAAGTTTATGTTTTCATACATTCACTTTTAACTCATATAATTGGCATTTTAAATGCGAATACAAAAATATAGGTGAACATACTTTATTACTTGTTGCTTCAAGTAGTTCATTCCCAATATTTTATCAGGTATTAAAGACTTTAGCAAATATTGTTTTATAAACAACCCAAATATACTTCTGATATGTTTGTGAAGTTTTTTGAAATACATATTTATATCTAATGAGAGAGATTAGATAATTATTTTATATAGTTCTAGACATTCCTTTGTCTGATAAGGACAAACTTATAATAAGAAAAAATGTTTTAGAAATCTACAGCCAATGGACATATTGCTACTGGTGTGGCAAAAGCTGAAAAGTCACCAGCCAAAGAAAAGAAAGCTCCAGAGCCAGCTAAAAAAGTTGATAACAATGCCAATAAGCCAGTAAAGAAGGCAGACAATAATGTTAAAGACACTAAAAAAGCCGAACCAGCCTCAAAGAAAGCCGTTGATAATCAGGAAGCCAAAAAGAAGACAAACAAGAAGGCCTCTGTTCAGAAACCGGCTGATTTTGATGAAGGTGATTGGGAAACTGTGCCAACCAAGGCAGACAAGAAGAAAAAAGTAGAACAATCACCAGCTAAAAAAGAGAAGAAATCTAAGAAACAAGAAAAAGTGTCTGAGGCTGTTGTTGCCAAAGAAGAATCATCTAACGAAGGGGAAGAGTTAGAAAAAGAGCCAGAACCTGAGGTGGTTACCGAGACACCAGAAGTAATTGAAGAGGCAGCTCCAGTAATTGAAGAGAAGAAAGACAAGAAGAAGGAGAAAAAAGCTAAAAAAGAAACCAAAGCTTCTAATAATGCTGCTCCTGTGGAGCAACCAGCTAAAGCCGAGAAGGTAGCTGCTCCGAAAGCTGAGAAAGCAGCTCCAAAAGCTGAGAAAGCTGCTCCAAAAGCTGAGAAACCGGCTGTAAAGGCTGAGAAAGCAGCTGCAAAAGCTGAGAAAGCAGCAGAAAAAGCTGAGAAGCCAGTAGAAAAGGCTGAGAGTGCTCCTGCTCAAGCTCAAGCTGCAGGAGCTGTTTTTGATGAACTTGGGGGTAAGCATTAAAAAAAATCTAGAGATAGTTTTTGTTCTCTTGTATTTAAAAATCTCAAAAGAATTAATCCCCTTAAAGTCTTTTTTATTAAGAAACCAATGAATTGATTTTTTTTTTCCTACAAATTCTTACACATTTTTAATGATAGTTTTTATTTTCTTGTCTTTAAAATCTCAAAAAAAAAATCAAAATCTCTTAAGATTTTTTTATTAAAAAACCAACGAATTTTAATATTTTTTTTCCTACAAATTTTCAACGATAGTTTTTGTTTTTTGTCTTTAAAACTCTCAAAGAAATCTAATCCTGTAAGTTTTTTACTAAGGAACCAATTAATTTTGATATTTTTCTCCCTATAAATTCATACAAATTTTCAAAGATAGATTTTGTTTTCTTTTAAAAATCTCAAAAAAAACCAAAATCTCGCAAGTCTTTTTTATTGAGAAACCAATAAATTTGAATATATTTTTCCTACAAATTCTTACAAATTTTCAAAGATAGTTTGTGTTTTCTTGTTTAACTCTCACAAAAACCAAAATCTCTAAGTCTTTTATTAAGAAACTAATGAATTTGGACATTTTTTTCCTACAAATTCTTACAAATTTTTAAAGATACTTTTTGTTTTCTTGTCTTTAAAAATCCCCTAAACAACAAATCTTTAAGTCTTTTTTATTAAGAAACCAATGAATTGATATTTTTTTCCTACAAATTCTTACACATTTTTAAAGATAGGTTTTGTTGTCTTGTCTTTAAAAATCTCAAAAAAAATCAAAATATCTGAATCTTTATTAATAGTTCTTTCTAATAGTTTTTGTTTTTTGTCTTTAAAAATCTCAAAAAAATCTAAATCTGTAAGTCTTTTACTAAGGAACTTGATATTTTTTCCTACAAATTCATACAGATTTTCTAAGATAGTTTTTGTTCTCTTTAAAAAAAAACAAAATCTCCCAAGTCTTTTTTATTGAGAAACCAATGAACTTCAATATTTTTCCTACAAATTCTTACAAATTTTCAAAGATAGTGTTTTCTTGTTTAACTCTCACAAAAACCAAAATCTCTCAGTCTTTTATTAAGAAACCAATGAATTTAGACATTTTTTTCCTACAAATTCTTACAAATTTTCAAAGATAGTTTGTGTTTTCTTGTATAACTCTCACAAAAACCAAAATCTCTCAGTCTTTTATTAAGAAACCAATGAATTTGGACATTTTTTTCCTACAAATTCTTACAAATTTTTATACTTTTTTGTTTTCTTGTCTTTAAAAAATCCTTCAAAAAATCCCTCAGTCTTTTTTATTAAGAAACCAGTGAATTTTGATATTTTTCCTACAAATTCTTACAAATTTTTAAAGATACTTTTTGTTTTCTTGTCTTTAAAAATCCCCTAAAAAACAAATCTTTAAGTCTTTTTTATTAAGAAACCAATGAATTTTGATATTTTTTCCTGCAAATTCTAACACATTTTCAATTGTAGTTTTTGTTTTTTTGTCTTTAAAAATCCCCAAAAAAATAAATCTCTTCTAATTCTTTTTATCTCAACAAACCAATGAATGTAGATATTTTTTTCCTACAAATTTTTACAAATTTTCAGACACATGGACAGAGGCCAAAGCAGTGAAGAAGAGCAAGAAAAAGGCTCGCAGAGAAAACTAATAGCGAGATTAATTTTCGTTTGTACCTCTCACAGAGTAAGTTAGACTGCTCCGCTGAGCATCACCAAGCAAAGAGTACCCCGGTACTCGCCTGTTAAGACAAATACCTCGAGATCACAGTCTAAGAGACACCGATCTCATCGGAATAATAACAAAAAAACGACAATTCACATTTTGTATCCATCAGAGATTTAAAAAAGTCTGAAGACTTAAGTGATTAGGGAGTAAAAAATCGTACTACACTGCCCGTCAAAATTAACGTGTCTATTTTTAAAAGAATCTTTTGTAAATTTTATATTAAGTAATGTTAATTTTGAATCTTAAACAAAGCTATTTGAATTTTTAAAACTATTTGTTACAAAATACTGAATTTTGTAAAAAAAAATTGTTTATTTTGACAAGCAGTGTATTGATCAGCGACAATTCAAAATAATCTTAAATACTCACTGAATGTATTTTAAAATTTTTCTAGAGAAAAAAACATTTTTTATTTATTCGGTATTATATTAATTTTAAATTATTTTTGGCCATACAGGGTGAGTCTTTAATAAATGCAAATATTTTCATAGCTGGTAGATCTTGATAAATCTTTGCCATTTTTCAGATAAGTCCAAAATAGCAGACTTGTTTTAATTTGAAAATTTTGAGAACCACTGGATTTTACTACTACCAATGTTGCCATATTATCAAGATATTATATTTTTTAACTGAAAATTAAAAAAATTAAAATTTTTCTTGTAAAATATTCTACCCTTAAAAATATTTGCACTCATTTAGCACTCACCCTGTATATCCCGTTGCAGTAGTTTTGAGATTTGCTTTGTCAAAATGTATATTGTTTACGTAGGACTGGTGTTGTAAATGATTTGTTTGTTTGTATTTGAACTTTTATCTTTTGCATATCATTGAACTTGTTTTGATAATTTTGATGAGATTTACCCTGCTTAATTTATTCATTAAACCATGGGCGTAGAAAAGGGATATGTTGTACCCCTTGTGTAAGTTATTTTAAAATAGTATAGAGGGTGTTCTCTTATAAATTAAATTATTTTTTTTTAATTTTAGTTTAATAAAAGTTCAATAAAAAAACAGTTATTTAAGGCTGGTTCTACAATTAATACCAATCAATATAAAAAAGGTGTATATGTTTGTATGAGTGATACGTTAAATAAAACATATTTAGCTTGTAATGGACCTTATTTCTAAAAGGAATCACGATAATGGGTGTTAGTAGTATTATTTTTGTATCGAAGATCGCGAACATTGTATTGTAGGCGGTGTACATATTTTGCAATATTTGTACATTCCATCGAAATGAGTACTAGTGCTAAGTGTCTTAACATTAAAACCCCTAAATTTTGTGCCAAGTTGGGTTCAACTAAAATCAGTAATAATATTATTTTATATTTCGAATTTTGTATATAAAATATCTCAATTTCAATCTTAAAAAATTTAGTTCAAAAGAAGTATATTCTGTACGAAATGGCAACATTGCCATGCTCTGAATATGAGAGATTTTCAGATGAAACAGCAGTTCTCAAAAGTTTTCTAAAATTTACAGAAATTAGTTTTGTTAGTAAAAAACTCATTTGTGGATTTATGGGGTCAAAATTTCTGAATTTATTGTCATTTTTCGTAAAATTATGAAGCTCTTTTAATAAAAGTATTGTTTTTAATAATTATTTTTTTTATAATGAAGTAAATCAAAAAAAATATATATAAATTCGAAATAAAAATAATATTAAATAAAAAAAAAACTAACAAAAAAATTAAATAAATAAACGAAAATTGTATAACTTATCCCATATGCCTTAAAGTATATTCAAATGATATATTTTTGCGTATTTTGCTTAATCTTATATAAAAATAGCATTAAGTATATGTCTTCCATATATTAGTTCTTATTTTTTTCAAAGAATATTATAGGTTTACCTTTTTACCAATACCTATTAACCTAAAATATTTTCGAAAAAACTAATCAATCAAAACACTCTTTTCTAACACTTTTTTTCTGATTTTTTTGCCTAATCTGTCATAATTTTTTTTTTTCGAAAAAAAATAGTGTAGAATTTTTTCAACAACCATCGTAACATTATAGCTATTTGGCTGTGAAGGAAAAATTCATTTTTCTGTCTTTTTCACTAACTTCAAAATACTTTTAATACCCAAAAAAATATATACAAGGTGTTCTATGAATAAAAATTCATACAAAATGTGTACAAAACACGTGTATATATGTTTTTGTTTCTTGCATAGAATAATTTAAATATGTATAACATTTTTTTTACCTTTTAGTCAAAATAGTTTTTAGTTTTTTAAACATTAAATTTGTTATTTAAGTTTTATTATAGTTTATTTCATAAATTTTATTGAGTCAAACTTTTTTGATATTTATTTGCATTTTCAGTTTTTTTTTTCTTTTAGTGTTAACATGTCCGATTTTGTATATACATACATTTAGCTATGTTAGTAGCAAACTGTTCTGGTATAATTAGGTGTTAGTAAAAAATTTTCTTTGATTGACAGTGTTTAAAAATGAAAACGCTGTGTTAATTTTTTTTGTGTTTAAAAATTCCTGTTATACGATGTTATATACGATGATTTTTTAGTATTTTCTGAAAAAAAATACGTGTTATTTAAAAATCATCCTGTATATAACATAATTGCACAGGGTGAGTCAACGATAAAGTCCATTATCTTATTTGTTTTAAGAAAAATATTCAATAGAGTATTTTTATGTAATGTCATATTACACGATTTATTTTTTCGAGTATACAGGGTGCGTCAAAAAAGTATGAGATAATGATTTTGCTCTGTTATTGTTGACTCCCCCTGTGCATTTTTCTACCATTTTTTTGCTGATTTGTAAGAAAATGAACCAGTGACATGACTACATACTGATTTATATTAATGTTATTACATTGTTTATAGTAATTTTACCAGTTTAAGTGAATTGAATTCCTGCTTTGTTTTTTGTCTGATTTAAGCAATTTTGTGACAAATTTTCGTGAATTTTTTCTTTGTAATTTAGGGTTTATATATAGTATTAATATGTAAATACAGTGTCCTGCCCTTGAGGGCTTCCTTTTTTCGAAAAATAAGGAGGCTTTCCGGGGTTTTTGTATATTTGCGCAGATATTTTTCGTATCTATTTTTGGTCGATGGATTGTTTTATCTTTTTGGGGACCATTTTAAATAAATATTTTTAAAAATAACGACTTGTTTTTATTTTCTTATTCACTGTTCTTAAAAATGAGGAAGATGCATATATTTTATTTTTCGCCAGAAACTGTTCAATTTATTAGAATAAATATGTGTAAATGCAAAAAAAAACTTTTTTCTTGAAAGCAGTACCACAATTTTATAAAACGGGCCATTAAAATACTATGGACAACGCAAACGACGCCTCGCGAATTGAAACGATATTCTATTGGTCTGACGTCACCCGCCGTTCTCGTCGACGCGCGATGGCCAGCAGCAGCCAGACGTGTTCCGGTTATGTACGTATTTAGGTGGCGTACTAAGACATTTTTGTTGCTTTTAACGTTGATTGAAGGAGCTTTTTATGCTTTTTTGCAGTTATTATTTGTATGTGTTGTGTGTTCTGAGAATTTTTTAAGTAATGGCAGATTCCGGGTTTGTAAAAGCACAATCAGATAACTTGCCAAAAGTCGATGCTTTTATGTTGGCTGCTTTTATAAATACAAATTCTCAATTTATTGGTGCTGAATTACGAGGAAAAAACAGAGAGGTATGTAACGTTTATTCTTTGTAGTACTGAGGCATATTTAAGTATAAGTAGGTACCTATACTGTTATGAACTTTTATATAGTTATAAATATTAATGTTATAAACTTATTTTTCAGATCAGGTAGGCAGACGTATGGAGATAATGCTGTAGGTTATGTAGAAGTGAAAAGAGACAAACATATTTGTTTAGTACGTGGAAAAGTAACTCCAGATAGCGTGAAAAAGAAAGTTTTTTTTTATATATTGACACCCCCTTACCTTTGTTATCTTTAAAGATTGTTTTTTTTAAGAAATTATAGGAAATAAATTGTTTATCACTAATGAAAATATTATACAAGGTGTCCCATAAGCAAACGCCAAAATTAAGTTACTTTTTTAAGTGAAACACCCTATATATTTTTGGATTCTTCGGAAATTTCTAGATATTCTAGATATATTTCATGTATAATATCCTATACCTATCTTCAAATGTTTACGAAATATTGACAGTTGAAAAGCGAAAAATACCTACAATTTTCTGGACCACCTTTTTTGAGACACCCTGTATATCTAGAATTAATTTTAAAAGAGAGTATATGAAAAACCATGCAACTTTTTTATTTAATGTTTTCTTCTAAAACTTGCAGTTAAGGCTGTATGTGGGTTTCAAAATATAATGAACAACCCTGTACATTCAAATTTCATATACCTATGTAAGACAATATACATAAATATATGAACTTACATCAAAATCTTCACAACTATAAATCGTAAAAATAGAGGATAATTTAACGTTTTTCTTTTCATCTCTTCTCATGGCCTTGGACCATTTTTTTCTGTTTCCGCTCATCCATTACTATTTATAAATATCACTAATTACTAATTATGTATTAATTAACCCAAATAACTAAAATTTTGACTCGGATTCAACAGCGTTTAAAAGCAAACTGTGTAAAATAAACACGCGTCTGGCTCCACTCAACCAGAAGAACGGCGGGTGACGTCACAGCGGCAAGACGCGGTAGAGAGCGTTTGCCCGGCCATTTAAATTAACAATATTTAATTATTTTATATTAGAGGCATTTCTTAACCGATATCAACGATTTTTTTTTGTTCAATTTGTAATTATATGAACTATTTTTTAAAACCATTATTTAAAAACATGCATTTTCCTTATTGGAAACCGTGTATAAAAACAAAAATAAAGGCATTTTTACAGTTTACAGGATGTCTCATTTGAGAGCGTATACAGGGTGGCCCATTAGTGCGAGGAAGTCCAATATCGTCGTTGTTGAATATATGAAAAAAAGTTTCGTGCAGATGTTGCACGGTTTATAATGGTGCATATCCTAAAAATATTTTGTTGTGCACAGGGTGGCCCAAAAAAAGTTATGATAAAAAGTTTTTTTAAATTGCATCTTTAACCAAACCAAGCCACCCTGTGTATGCGGTTTTTGCATGATTAAAATTCCTATAATTTTCTTTAATAAATATTCATTTTAGCTCAAAATAAAAATAAAAAAGTTAAGTCTTTTTGTAATTTTCAGAAAAATGTAGGTCAAGGAAATGCGGTTTTATTCTGGATTAGGGCTTGATAAGGTTTCGAATTGGAATTGTATGATAAATTAATAGCGTGCGGTTTTCCATGATCGCGTGCCTGTCGTTGTCTTAAAGTGTGACGGATACAAAAAACTGATGCAAATAGATCTTTGGAATAAGGTTAATGGTTCCCTTACCCAGAAACTAATGTTAAAATCATCGATAAGTTGAATATTTTAAGGAATATTCTAGGTAGATTGCTAGAAATCGAATCACACTACGAATATATCAGTTTCTACTAAATATTTGCTGACTTTAATAATAAAAATCCTGTACAAATTAATGAGTATTGAATATTTAAAAAAATATAATTGTTACGATAAATATGATATCTACTTTTTAATTATATTGATTTTGCAAAGTTTTCAAAAACTGTTATCTTAATTTTTATGTATGCCCAATTAAAATTGATCTATTTATCTTGCTGTGAAAATAACTTACACATAATATTTTTCAGATTTTTTGGAAATTAGATAATTTTATCTATACTAATATATAAAATCCTTAAGTGACTGACATACTGATTAATCAGGATCCTGCTCGAACCACTCAACGTAAGAAGCTCAATTTTGGCATACAGGTTGATTCTAGGGTGTAGAGGTTCGATAAGAAGGGATTTTTCGAAATTCCATTTCCAAGAGGGTGAAACCACCCCTCAAATATTACAATATTTTTTATTTAAAAAACGGTATATTGTATATTGTTTTTTACATATTTTAAGATTTTTTAAAAATGTATACAGGGTGTTTCGAAAAATCTGGTCATTGATTAATTACGATCCTGCTTAAAGCGCTTGACGTAAAAAGCTGATTTTTGGAAAACCTAGATTGACTTTAGGGTGTAGAGGTTCGATAAGTAGGGATTTTTCGAAACTAGAATTCTAAGGGGGTGAAACTATCCCTCAAATATTAAAATATTTTTTATTTAAAAACCGGTAAGTTTTTGGAAAAACTCATAAACACGTATATTTTATTTTGTTGTTTACATATTTTAACATTTTTTATAAATTTATACAGGGTGTTTCATAAAATTTGACCATTGAGTAATCACGATACTGCTTAAACTGCTTGACGTTTAAAGCTAATTTTTGGCAAACTGATTGACTGTGTGACGAAGTAGAGGTTCGATAAGGAGGGGTTTCTCGAATCTCAAATTCCAAGAGGGTGAAAACGCCCCTCAAATATTACAATATTTGTTATTTAAAAAACGGTTAGTCTTTCGGGAAAACGCTTGGACAAGCATAATTTATTTGTTTTTTTTAATATTTTGAAATTTTTTAAAAAATCATACAGGGTGTTCCAAAAAGTTGGATAATTTCTTAACCACGATTCTGCTTAAACTGCTTGACGTAAAAAGCTTATTTTTGGCAAACGGATTTTTCGAAAGTCAAATTCCAACGAGATGAAAGTCGCTGGTACATGCTAGTTAGAATATAAAATGTTTATTTTCGTTATATAATTCTTGTAATCGAGATTCTAGAAAACCCTTCCCTTATTTTTCAAGAAACAACTCTGAAGTTATTCGCTCTTATTCATATAAGTAGAGGTATAGATACGTGTTATATAAAGGGTGTCTCCTAAATACGACCAAGTATTTTAAGAAAGTTTAAAAAAACGTTGAAAAACTTTTTACTTGACATTTTCCGGAAAATTAAAGAAAAACTTTTTAGTGTAGCAGGTTAATTCTACTAAATTTCTTAAAAAAAAAATAATTATATCAATGACATGGCATTATTAGATATTATTAGTAATTTTAGAAAAACGCACTATGCAAGTTTGGGTATTAAAATCGACAAAAAAAAGGTTTTTTTAATTTCACTCAAAATGAGTTATTTGGGCCATAAATACAAAATATGTTCATGGTGTCTGTCTGTCTGTCCGACTGTAACACGATAACTCAAAAACCGCTAAACTGATTTTAACCAAATATGTCACAAAAATACTGTGGCACCCGAGAATCTGGCCATTAGTTTTTGGTGGGGGTGGGAAGTTGGTAAAGGGGTACGGGAGGGGGTTAAACATTTAAAAAATCGTAACTCCAAAATTATAGTAGCTAGCGAAACGCGGTTTTCAATTTAAGATTAGGAATAATATTTGCAACAAAATTTCTAATAACATCAAAATCAGTCAAAGTGGCAGTTTTTGAGATAAAAAAAAATGGAAAAATTCCTTTACTTTGGAACTAAATGAACTGCCTACCAACTTATTTTTATTAACATATTTTAGTATGGGCGGCTATACGTGCCTTCCGGCGCCAATTTTTTTTAACTCACCTGTAAATAATATGGAATAAACCCGTGTAAAAATAACACATGTACACATACTGTAGCCTCGCTATATGAATAAATAAATAACCCTCAAATCAATTCTTTATCCTTAAAAAATAACATAAGTCTGTAAGTTTTTTTCTATTCTGACTCATATTCTGTAATACTATTTCGTATAGTACTTATTTCGTATTTATTGGAAACCTCTGTTCAGTTTCCGCATGTTCATATTTGTTTTTTATCCAATAATAAGTTCTTCAAATCACGAACAAAAACAAAAACATATATTGTTAGCGTGAATCTAGAATATTATGTGTTTTGTCTGTTCAATATTATTTTATATATATATATAGTTGAAGTCAATCACCTTTCAGTTTCATTCGATGGATATCTACAGGGCGAGTCTTAAATAAGTGCAAATATTTTCAGGGCTGGTAGATCTCGTGAAAAGAAACATATTTTCTCTTTACCGTTTGTAAATAAGTCCAAAATAACAGAGTTATTTTACTTTGAAAATTTTCAAAAAAAAATGATCTTTGCTTAAATTTTGAGAACCACTGGGTCTTTTCCGGGTTTTCTTTTTTGTACATTTTATCTACTACCTATATGTTGCCATATTATCAAGAAATTATGTTCCTTAACTAACGACTAAAATAAAACCAATATATTTTTTAAAAAAGTTTTCTATTTTTTTTCGCAAAAAAAACTTCATAATCGTGTCTGGGGTCGAAATATACTGCCCCTAAAATATTTGCGCTTATTTTAAGATTCGCCTTGTATAAAAACTATATCTATTTTTTAGGAAAATAAAAATAACTTTTAATGTTAAAAATAGGTCTAGTGAGAGAGAGAGATCTTTCATTTTAGTTCAAATACTTATGTTTTTTCTATAGATGCAAAACGAATAATGATTTTTTTTTGGATTCAGTGTTTCAAAATGTTTAACGGTTTCGCAGATATTTGGTATATATTTTTACATATTGATTTTTTCCGATATTTTAATAGTTGTCTTCAAATTCGGTCCAGCCATTCTTCAGTTTGATTTATTTATATTTCTCTGGGACTATCAAAAAAAAATAATAATAATCTAAAGATTATGTCAAGTACGGAGAGAAACCCCAGAACGCGATAATATACAGAGTGTTCTATTTAAAAAAAAATCAGAAACTCACACTTTTTTAGAGACTATGCAAGTGAACCATATTGTCCTAAAATAGGTCCTATAGAACACAATTTATGACTGCACAAGTAATAAAGTTTCAGTCCGCCTATTGGAGCAGCACTCTGTATATGCAAAAAAACAGTTATTAAGTCAGGTCAACGAATATTAATTAGAATTCTCCCATAAAACCTCGCAATGTTCCTAAAACCCCAAAATTACAAATTCACCCTAAATAAACCAAAAATTTAAATAGGACACCATTTCCATCGGACCCTTTTCGTGCAAATTTTCCTTTCTTTTCCACACTTAGCCGGAAAATAAGGTTAATAACCCACAGTGTGTTGGTTTTCCATCGCCGGGCAACCGCAGGCTTCGATCAAACAAGACCTGGGTTTTCCACGGTGTGGTATTTTCGCGTGACATAGCTTCAGTGTCGGTTGTTCCTAGTTTTCCCGAGAATTTTCCGTAGTTTGGTGAGCGGTGGTTGTTAGTTTGGGAAAGGGCAGTTGTGCTTTTCGTTGCTGAAGGGCGAAAAACAGTTTAATTTTCCTTGATTTGATTTATAGTAAGCATTTTTTGATATTAGAATACAGAACATAGATTGATATAAGTGGAAAAAAAATCAGGTGGTGATGTATTATTAATTAATATGTTTTTTTTGGTATAAAATTTTCGATCTGGCATTTTCCTATAAAGATATCGTGTGATCGAAAAAAAAACGGCGTCAAAGACGGTTGGGAACTGAAAATCGGCATTGACATTATTGGCGATGGCAATCTCTAGACATCTTTTACTAAACTAAAAAAAAATAAAGAATTAGAATAAGAAATAAAAAATATATAATTACTAGCTAATACTTTGCTGTGCATAAAAATTTGGAACGATTTATTTCTTTAAAAATCTTGCAATGATGGTATACAGTATGAGTCTTTAAAGTGGAATAAAATCATTATATCAAACACAGAACTTAAACAAAATGCTTGGACATGTCAATTATTATTTTTATTAGTCGCTTATAATTTTACATAAAAAATATTTCAACAGAAAGCAGATATTTCTATACAGGGTGGTCCGAATTGTATTCCGGAAACTTCGGCAGCATATTTTACTGATAAAAATAAGTAAAAAAGTTCATATAATTGTAGTATGTTCTAAAATGCTTAGTTTCGGAGATACAGGGTGTAGAAGTTTCATTTTTATTTCGATTTTTTCCAAATAATTTCTGAAGCAACGTCAATATTTGCATGAAAATTGGTGAGTTTTTTCGCATGAGAAATTTGATTTTGATGTCAATATGACTCCTATTTGTAGGGGGCGCCACCTACATGTGTTTTGAAGAGTAATAACTTTTTTCCGTACCTGTATAAAACTACTGAGTGAACAAATATATATATTCGTGATTTTCTACGTAAAAAATGTCTCTTGGTAAAAATCGCTAAAAAGAGGATCGGGGAATAAATTACTTGAAAACCAAATCGAAAAATTTTATTATAAAACCCTTTTAAACCTAAAAAGATAATCACCTTCTGAATTTTTTCACCTACATATTCATTTACACCCTGTATCATATCAAATATATTATTAAGAAATGTTGTGTTCGTTGGTACCATATAATTCAATATATACAGTATGATCGAAAAAATAACAGCGTCCACTTGGCTACTGGTGTTTTTTTGATAAATCTAAATAGGTATTTAAAAAACGGTTTAGGTAAAAATATTTATAAATTATTTCTTTAAAAATTCGCTAAATTAATAAATTTGTTAAATAAAAAGTTCACAATTTCTTCACTGGTTTCTTACTAAAACTGAAGAGTGGAAATACCAAAGGGGGTAAGTGCCAAAATTATTTTTTCGAGATAAATGAGAAAAACACAGTAGAACTGAAACTAATAAATGTTTAAAATATCTTTTAAAATACATTTAATGTACAATATTAAACAATAGACGCTTTCGCTTGGCACTTGTAACTTTTCTTAGGACATGCAGCATAGTATTTATTACGTTTCTGATTGGCATTTACCCCCTTTGGTATATCCACTCTTCAATAATTATAGTCTGACCAACAGTTGCATCCATCATTTTACTTGACAGAAAAATTGTATTTTCAACAATCTTTAATTAAAAAAGACTAGAAAATAAACTGTTCATTAAAGCACTGTTCATTAAAATGTTGTCTCCTATGTTATAGGGCTTGTTTCTCTCTACAATTTCCTGTCTCACAATGTACCGTTTGTGTCCAGGAAGGATTCATATTTTCATAGTTGTCGATTTTCGAAAGAAATCAGAACAATTATATTATTTCGTATATTTTTCATTTTATTGATTTTATGGAAAGCACTGTTCATTAAAATGTTGTATCCTATGTTATAGGGCTTGTTTCTCTCTACAATTTCCTGTCTCACAATGAACCGTTTTTGTGTCCAGGAAGGGTTCATAGTTTCATAGATGTCGATTTTCGAAAGAAATCAGAACAATTATATTATTTCGTATATTTTTCATTTTATTGATTTTATGGAAAGCACTGTTCATTAAAATGTTGTATCCTATGTTATAGGGCTTGTTGCTCTCTACAATTTCCTGTCTCACAATGTACCGTTTGTGTCCATGAAGGGTTCATAGTTTCATAGATGTCGATTTTCGAAAGAAATCAGAATATGTATATTATTTCGTATATTTTTCATTTTATTGATTTTATGGAAAGCACTGTTCATTAAAATGTTGTATCCTATGTTATAGGGCTTGTTTCTCTCTACAATTTCCTGTCTCACAATGAACCGTTTGTGTCCAGGAAGGGTTCATAGTTTCATAGATGTCGATTTCTCGAAAGAAATCAGAACATGTATATTATTTCGTATATTTTTCATTTTATTGATTTTATGTAAAGCACTGTTCATTAAAATGTTGTATCCTATGTTATAGGGCTTGTTTCTCTCTACAATTTCCTGTCTCACAATGAACCGTTTGTGTCCAGGAAGGGTTCATATTTTCATAGTTGTCGATTTTCGAAAGAAATCAGAACATGTATATTATTTCGTATATTTTTCATTTTATTGATTTTATGGAAAGCACTGTTCATTAAAATGTTGTATCCTATGTTATAGGGCTTGTTTCTCTCTACAATTTCCTGTCTCACAATGAACCGTTTGTGTCCAGGAAGGGTTCATAGTTTCATAGATGTCGATTTTCGAAAGAAATCAGAACGTGTATATTATTTCGTATATTTTTCATTTTATTGATTTTATGTAAAGCACTGTTCATTAAAATGTTGTATCCTATGTTATAGGGCTTGTTTCTCTCTACAATTTCCTGTCTCACAATGAACCGTTTGTGTCCAGGAAGGGTTCATAGTTTCATAGTTGTCGATTTTCGAAAGAAATCAGAACATGTATATTATTTCGTATATTTTTCATTTTATTGATTTTATGGAAAGCACTGTTCATTAAAATGTTGTATCCTATGTTATAGGGCTTGTTTCTCTCTACAATTTCCTGTCTCACAATGAACCGTTTGTGTCCAGGGAGGGTTCATGACCAACAGTTGCATCTATCATTTTACTTGACAGAAAAATTGTATTTTCAACAATCTTTTATTAAAAAAAACTAGAAAATAAACGTTTCTACACACTAAAAGTTTAATGAGTTGTAACAGTAAAAATATAATAGACATTTCAAGCATGTGCCTTTGATGTTTTTTAATTTATTTATAATTTCTATATATTAAGTAGAAGACAATCCTATCGAAAAAAAAAATGACGTCAGAGTTGGCTTGAGAATGAATGTTGCCTGGTGAAAGTCACCGATTGTCCATTCCAAGGTAACATGACGGCGCTGTTCTTTTTTCGAATATACGGTATATATTTAATGATGATATTATATCAGTATCACACACCTATAATTATATTACATTGAAAACAATATCATTATTTTCTTTTTTACACTTTTTTTATTAAAAAGATTATTTTATCATCTTTGGCCTCAAAATGAAATCTACCTCACCTGTTTCGAAATAAAAAATAGTGTCAAATGGGTGTCTGTAATAAGCAGATATTACATAAGTTTTATCACAAATTTCCCACATTATAGTAATATAATGCTGGTAATATAAATTAATTATAAAAATTAATTCTTTCTGGCAGTAGAAAAGCTTTTTTAATTAAACAAATGCATTTCAATGATTTCTCCGTATTTTTTAGGTAAGTATAAATTGCACATACAAAAAAATTAAATAAAAACGCTGTCATAGTGACCTATCAAATAACATTTATATTCATGGCCTTTTTATTAAAAAAAAACCGTTGTTTTTCTTTTTCTATGTGTTTTTTTAGGAAATATATAGGTACTAACTATTGTTTTTAGAGTTTAATTTGGAAACCAAGTGCCAAAAAAGTAGAGTTTAAAGGATTTTTCTTTGAGATGTTTGAGATATGACCGCTGATAGTTATAATACGAAGCCTATGTCTTTGGTTGAACGGAAAAAACTACAGTGGGCAAAGGAGAGAGGTAATTTTCCAAAATAGGATATGGTTCTGTTTCAAAAAATTAACCAACCGTTTTTAATTAAAAAACAGGTTTAAAAAATGGTCTTGATGATAAATTTAATACTAATACATTATATATTTTTAGAATTGACCTACATGTATCGAAAAAATCAATTTACAATTTTATAAACCTCAAAAGGGTTGTCATTGTATCGCTTCTGTTAAATCGATACATTTTTTTTCTATACTCAACGTTTTTTTAACCGGAACCAGTCAATTACTTTTCATTTTTCACTGTTAATTACCATTTCTAATGAATGCAAATTCAGTTTTTTACGTTCTTTTACTGATATAATCCTCACAAATGAAATAATGTATTCAGTCTGCTCCGTTTTTTGTAAGTAGAGGTTCATTAAATAATTTAAAAGGTCTGGAAATAGGAAAGGTTTCCTTGAGAATGTGGGTTTGGAAGTCTAAACCACATAATAATGTGTTATTTCAAAAGTAAAATACACCTTTGGAGATCAATTTAGATGGGTTTTGTTTATTTATACAGAGTTACAGGGAAAAGTTACGACTTGGTATTATTTATTTATTTTCATTTTTTTTTCAAATAATTCTAGCTAATTACGAGGTATTTTTGTTTTAGAAGAACTGGCCAACCTCACAGCACCTTACCGACAATACAGTCAAAATTTCGAAAAATCATTTGACAGGTAAATGATAGACTCCTCTGATTAACAAATACTCCATTAATAATAATATTAATTATAATCCTCAGTCGCACATACCTATAGATCATACCAAATCAACTTTTAGTGACGTGATTAAGCTTGACCGGCACAGCGTTGCCCAATTTTACATATTTTCTTTTAATCAAAATATTTTAGGAAACAAAAATACATGAATTTTAAATATACAGGGTTGTTCACCACATACGACACGGAGTATTGTAGCTAAACGATTAGATTTTCACAAATTGTAAGTTTTGGGTTCGTTGAAGGTCAATTAGAGCTACAATTTAAAAATATTTTTACAAGATACAGAGTGTCCCAAATAAGTAAAAAATATTATAGTTATATTTTTTTAAATGGAACACCCTGTATATTATTCTATTGTTGGATTTTACGATTGAAATAAAGGTAAATTTGATTAAGGTTTATCACACTTAAACCTTACCGTTTTTGAAATATTTTCAATTTTATGAAATTGCAGTAAAAATTTTAAGGCTTTATTTCTCCCAGGGTATCAAAGTTTTTAATACGAAATATTTACTGAAGATTATTTATTGATCAGATATTGTGTTGCAATAATAAAAATTTTACTACCTTACAGAGTGTCCAAAAATTTATATTAAATAATTACTAGCTTTAAACGGCAATAACTTGTTTAATTTAAATGGAACACCCTATATATTTTACGTAAATCAGATGCACAATGTAATTGTCTATCAAATTTATTATATACCGTTTTTTACCCATCTCTTCAAGTTTTCGTAGAAAATGCATTTTTTTATAATTTAGGCCTCATTTATCACTATACCCATGGAATATTGATATTTCAGATTTTTTTATAGCACCATAATATGTACAAAATGTACAGGTGGTAAATATTGCAAGCCCATTGGCATACAAAATAAATTATTTAAATATTTTTAAGAGTATACCAATTATTATTTCCTACCAAAAACACCAAAAATTAGTTAATTACATACTTATAAATTGTTTTAATTAAAAAATTATTCTAAATAAATGTGGATTTGGCTCAGAAATCAATATAATAATAAGTTATAAAAATGAATGTCTGTGTTTTTATAAATAAGCATTCATTAATAAATGAAGTAAAATCTATAAGGTGTTGCTTTTTACCACACTGTCTAATACACACACAAAATTCAGTTTTTTAGTATTTGGAGCAATTATTATTAATCAACGTAAACAGTCAAATAATGTAGTTTGAATACTGGGATCATATTAATTGGTCCTCTTTAACAAAAAAATGTTTAAATATTTTTTTCATTTTTTAATTAAATAAGCGAACTAGATATATCGACAATATTAGTATCTGTACCCTTTGAAAATTTGTTATATCTTTAAAAATAAGCTAAAATGTCAATATTCCATAGGTATAGCGATAAATGAGGTCTAAGTTATAAGAAAATGCATTTTCTATGAAAACTTGAAGAGGTGGGTAAAAAATGCAACAATACAATTTGATAGACAATTGCATTGTGCATCTGATTCACGTAAAATATATAGGTGTTCTATTTAAATTAAACAAGTTATTGCCGTTTAAAAGCTAGTAATTATTTAATATAAACACTGGACACTCTGTATAAGGTAGTAAAATTTTATTATTGCAACACAATATCTGATCAATAAATAATCTTCAGTAAATATTTAGTATTAAAAACTTTGATACCCTTGGAGAAATAAAGCCTTAAATTTACTGCAATTTCATAAAATTGAAAATATTTTAAAAACGGTAAGGTTTAGGTGTGATAAACCTTAATCAAATTTACCTTTATTTCAATCGTAGAATCTAAAAATAGTATAATATACAGGGTGTTCTATTTAAAAAAATACAACTATAATATTTTTTTACCTATTTGGGACACTCTGTATCTTGTAAAAATATTTTTAAATTGTAGCTCTAATAGTCCTTCAACGAACCCAAAACTTACAATTTGTAATAATCTAATCGTTTAGTTACAATACTCCGTATCGTATGTGGTGAACAACCCTGTATAAACAGTTATTATTTACATCAACAAAACTCAACGAAGAGATTCTCAATTTTTCGTAAATATAACATAAATAACATATTTTCTTCTATATAGATCCAAATATGGAAGTAGGCACCCTACGATACAAAAACAATCATCCCTGGACAACTACCCCAAAGACCAGGAGCGCAGAAGTAGTTTACCACCTCTGTACAAGAACCAGTATAATTCGAACTATGACTACAATCAGAAGAACTACAAAAGCGAGAAATTTGACAGAGGTGGAGAGACTTCCGGGTATGGTAGCGATACCAACAATCAAACTCCAGAGTATAAGGAGAATAGTCTTCCTCCTGCTGGCAATAGTCAGTGGACAGGAGGACATACGGGACACGGGGGACACCAAAGTGGTTATGAGTCCTCCTCTAGCTTCAGAGACGACAGGTAATTTTAGAAAGGTTGCAAATTTCATCTAAGTCCTCTTTCTTCAGTTCTAACTTCCAACTGATGAACTATTTATGTTATTGTTATATTGCTTGCTTAATCACCTGATCCTTTCTGATGTTTCTTTTATATCATTCGGAATAACCAACAGAGCGAGAGAGAGAGAGAGTATCTTACTCAGGCTGGGTGAGGAAGATCTCACTCTCTCAATTCGATATAATTTTGTCGTACATCAAAAATCTTCGAAATCTTCTTTTTCAGACCAAAATGGGGTGACAAAGGAGTGGGGGTAGGAAAATTCTGGCAACCCAAAGAAGAACACTACGAAAAAATAGCCGACGAGCCCCCAAACTGGGTGAAACGAGGCCTTCAAGGCGATGGAGCAATACTCGTCGCAAACTCTTCGCCCTCTGCTTCGCCAGAACAGAGATACGAAGACCACGACAGACCCTGTACGGGTTCTAGCTTCTCCCAACACAAGTATGCTTTATTTTCTCCATAACTTCTCCTTAAAACTTACTTTATTTGCTTCCAGATGCTACCTCCGAGGCCAAAACATGCCCATCGATGCGGTTGAGTTAGCAGAAAGAGAACGAAAAAGACAGGTAGCCCTAGCTCATCAAGAAGCCATCCGCCAACAGCTGGAGGAACGTGAAAAAAGACGGGAAGAAGAAAGAATCAGAAGAATAAGGGAAGAAAGAGAAGAAGAGCTGCGCATTGAGAGAGAACAGGAGTATGAGAGACAGAAAAAACTACAGGAAGAACGTGCCCATCAAGAAAAGTTGGAGAGAGAAAGAAGAAGAAAGGAAGCAATAAGGGAAGCAATGGAATTAGCTGAAAAAGAAGCTAAACTTGAGAAAATCAGATTAAGGATGATGAAACAGAGCACTAGAAACGACGATACTGAACGAAACATGGCTGAAAATGTTCTGGAGAAAGAAAAAGTTCCTAATGAATCCAAACTAATCGAAAAAGTCGAAAATTCTAATAAAGATTGTCTGAATAATAACAAGGAAGTCATTCCTGGACAAAAACCCGAGAACATTACTAAGGAAATCAATAACAACCTTGTTAATCAATCTGAAACATCCAACGTACAAAATTCTCCAACCAAAAGCACCACTAGCATACCTCAGTCAGTAATAAACGAACAAGAAAACCAAATGAACAATCAAAGAAGTCTTACTCCTATTTCTCAATCGTCCAGGAACACCAACAATTACAGTCCACGTATTGATCAGTTGGCATACCTTCTTCAACCATCTCTGGAGAGTTTTCAAAATTTCCAGTACGCTGTTCTTATACCCACTCCTACAACCCAATTTCCTATCGCTATACCAGTCAATTTTCCCAACCAATCAAATCAAACTGAAGCTATTAACGCACCACGAACAGAAAACAGAATCCTTACACCAACTAGGTACAGGAATAACATCAGAAAATGTGACAGTAGCACACAAACTGATCCTGTTTTGAACTCGGCAAGATCTTCATCAGAAACCGGAGATGGTAGAGATAAATATTTGAGAGAAAAAATGAACAATTTGGAGATAAATTACGAAAACAAACGAAGAGATAGACGAAGTAGGAGTGAAAGTATGGAGGAGAGACCTAAATGGGGTGTGAACAGGCCTCCAACCAGATACATGAAGCAAAGTGAGAAAGACCCCTTGTATCAAAGAAGAAAACTAAGACAGAAACGTGAAAATGCCAATAAAAGTTACGACGAGAAGAATTCCAGCGATGAAAGTCAAACAGCCACTCCAAGACACTACAGGAAAAAGGATTTAATCGAAAAACGCCCTTCCAGAGCAAGATGGAGAACAGAAGAACGAATATTTAGCGGAAATTTAAAAATGTACCAAAGAGAAATAGTACCGCTTGAAACCGACCAAAACCACCTATACTACAAGTGCTGTTGTACTTGTAGGTGTCAAAAACACGGCTGTTCAGAGAATGTGAAAGTCGATATACTGAAAATTGAAGATGATACGCCTAGGGACGAACTTAGAAGCAAGTGTTCGGAAAGTAGTGTGGATAGAATCAAGCAGGATTCTTTGGATAGTGTCGAAGATGGAAATAAGATCGATTTGCTTGGTAAACTGTCTTCATTACATAATGGATTGCTTCAGGAGCAAGCTAAATGGGAGAATAGTCCGAGAACACCTCTGTTATTGCCGAATAGTTTATAAAAATTATTTTTAGGATATAAAATGAATGAATTTTGAACACAAAACATTCCATATTCACTAAAGGAATTGTTTAATAGATATGGACTAAGGTAGTACAGTTTATGGAATGAATGGTTTAAAGTGGGTGTTTGGAAATGAAGAAAAATGTTGAAAGACAGACTTGTCAAGAAGCTCTGATATCATTGGTAGACTAATAAAAAATAAATGGAAGAGATTTGTACAGCAAAACAAAGACTAAAAAAGAATATATGAACAAATCTACTACAGGAAGCTACAACGAGTCTTGCTGTAGAGAAAAAATCGACTACGTAACGGGGTTTGTCGTGTTTAATTATATCGTAAACATGATTTTTCCTGTTAAAAAAGTTACTGAGGCTAGACACTCAAGCGTAGTGGTGATAGATAAATAAAGAAATAATAAATAAGAAAACAGAGCTAAAAAAAGACTAAAGAAGACTACTACTATGCGAAGCACTATCTAATGAAACCAAGTTGAAAAATGTCCAGAGAAGAAGTCCAGAGACCCAACCATAGTAGTTAAAACTAAATGAAGTAGTATATAGTTAAACAAAACTGAGGCAAAAAGAGGATTTAACATTTACAGAAAGCTGGAGATGAAGAAAACGATTCTAAAAATATCAAACAGAGACAGTCAAAATTAAGGCAAATTAAAAGACATTTTCTCTGTGTATAATATTATTGTTAAGAATGGTCAGAATCGACAAATATTTAGACAATAACTCAAATAGAATATAGGTACGTTTGACATTAAAGCTATTTGTTAAAGGAAAAAAATCTGCCATACCTACAAAATAAAGTTACATACCTAAAATTTTAAGCGGTGTTTTCAAGTGTTATTATAGCCACGTATAGCAAAATAGTTAATAAAGATGTAGATTTCATTTTGAACCAAACATTTCGTATTTTAAAACTTTTTTCATCACAATTACTTCAAACCATTTTTCTATTCCATTCTCGCTAGACTAAACTTCAAGAATCATGGCAAAACTGGACGATTTCCTGTCAAAAAAGAAGGAAACCACGCCCATTTTGGATTTATCGAAAACTACGTGCAATTCCAAGGAGGAATTTCGTCGCCTACTTGAAAAAGTACCCGATTTCAAGATCAAGCCAGAAAAAGTGAGCGTGGAGAGCCTGAAAATTAAGGAGAAAAGATTTGGGTTCAAGTCGGGTAAAAAGGACTTGAAGGGCATGAAAGAACCGTATCAATTCATGAACCCTCTGCCTGTCGAGATGCAGAATTTGAAAATTGATGATTTGGCTGGTGTTTCGATTGATTGGAGAATGCTGACAACGTTGAGACCAAAAAGTAAAATGGAAGAAAACTTCTTCTCCAGGTTAGTATACCGAGTGGTTACACATCTCGTTTTTTTTATCTGAAAATAGTTAAAAAAGTTATAGGGGTGAGCCAAAAATAGAGATACCAGCAAAATTAGTGTTGCGATAGCTTTTTTTTGCTTTTATCAAATTCTAAGAACATTTTTGATTGTTTTCAGGTTGGTAGAACTGGGAAAATTGGAAAACAAGAGCCGTGCAGCTGAAAAACGCCAATTTCAACTGGACCCTCAAATCAGGAAAATAAAAAACAAATCTGGAGTGGTCGAAATGAGGGTTGTGTCCTGTGCTGAATGTGGAGAAGACTTCTGTACTGGTAGGTAAAAGGTAGCAAAAATTTGACATGGAAGAGTAAATATGTATAAAGACTTGAATCTTTTAAAAGACTTAAATATTTTAAAAGATTTAAATCTTTTTTAAAAATGATTTAAGTCAGTATATTCTTATAATTTTTTTTGTGAAACCTATACACCAACACAATGAAAGTGGAACATCCTGTATATAAGTTATGTTTTTATGTTCTTGATTTTTTGTTATTTATTGTCCGTAGTTAATCTGAAAATATTCATTCATTGGTTATGGTTAATAAACCAGTTGTTTACCCAGTGGCGTCGTAAGTACTTAAAAAAAATAACAATAAAACTAAAAATGTCTTATTTTAATAACACACCCTGTATCAATATTTATCAAAATTAGAACTTAAGTATCTTGGGTAAGGAGGCTTCAATATAATTTATCAGATTTGAAATAAATACTGTCCTAAGGGTAGTTTACTCTTGACTCAAAAAATATCAAACCCCATTAAAGCGTACGTCTATGAGGTATCGCATTTCTTACCCTGGGCAAAATGTACGTCTTATAGCCATATAGCCTCCTGCCAAAAATGAAAAAGATCGCTCAACAAACAACCAAGATATTGGCTTGTATCCATCTTAAGTGGGACACCCTGTATAAGAAAATTAATATTAACATTTAAAAAATAGGTACTTAAATTGAATTTTTCTTGACTTGAGGATAATTATATTGACTTAAGTAATTTTATTGACCTGATTTTCAAAAATATAAACTTATTAAGTCATAAAAACTACTTAAATAACATTATATTGATTTAAGTTTTTACAAAAATTACTTGACTTAAAAGAAAATAATTTCAGTCAAAGAATTTGTGATTTTTGTTGAAATTTATTTAAGATTTAGATTTAAATCTATTGGATTTTAGAAATGACTTAAGAAAGTCTTTTTAAAACTGACTTGACAGATCTGGTATTTGAGAAAAGACTATTTATCGTGTTTTTCTTTTCGTCCATAGGTAAAACATGCTCAGTTTTTGGATACGATTCTTTTACCAGTCAAGCGGAGGTACTACAAACGTCTCAAAAGGTACTGTCACCCACCTCAGGTGAAAAGAGTAAACGGAAAATCAAGAGGAAATCAAGATCAAAGAGTCGCGGCAAACGCAAGGGAAAATCAAAATCGAAAAGCCCGAAAAAACGAAGTGCGTCGAAAAATAAATCAAAATCGGCATTGTAATAATTGAAAAATCAATAACAAAATATCGACTATATTATATTTCTTATTAAAAATCAAAAAATTAAAAATTAATAAATCAAATTCTAAAAAAAGTTTTAATTTAGTTTTTTGTTTACTAAGTAGTTTTATTTTTCAAAAGAGAATAGCTTCAAGATTATTCTTGTTTAAGAAACGTGTTTTTTCTGTCATATGTATCATACGAATCGAAAAAAAACGGCGTCAAAGACAGCTGGGGAATGACAATCGATGATAATTTTGGCCAGGTCAAGCCCTATAGACATCATCATTATTACTGGGCCCTCACTCTTCTTCACTTTCTAATTTCCCTTACTGCCAGTTGGCCTCAAATAGGTTGTAATTTATTCTTATATTGAGTAAAAATTATTTTTAAATGGTGTCGTAGTTTAAAATTGGAGAATTTTTTTTAAATAGATTTGTGTGTCTAGGAACGTTCTAGTTTTTATCTTTCAATAGTTAGTGTTAATTTTGACAAGATTTATGTCAATTTTTAGTAAATGAAGTCTAGAGACTGAGCTCGCTAAAATTATCCATGATTGCCATTTCCCAGCAGCCTTTGACGCCGTTTTTTTTTCGATCATACGGTATATGACCTATTGTATTTTTATAATAATAATTATAAAAAAGCATAACTATAAAATATAATAAAAATCTATTAATTTTATTTGAATATTCGCCCCGAAATACCTATCAATTGAAATTCAACATTAACAACAATCAAAACACAAATAAAGACCCCCAAAAACTGAAAATAAATATAAAAATATCATACATTTGTGTTTTACACAAGTTTTTATAATGTTCGATGGACTAAAAGCCAAATGCCAATGAAAAATATAATGATATAATAAAATTTTGGACTTGCCTGCAGTTTTTTCTTGTTAATTTTCCATAATATTACAGGTAGTTGCAGGTTCTCTGCCATATGCAACAATTAATCTTGTTCTGAAGAACTCTGAAATTCAAAATTAGTTATACGGGTACTCATATAGGTATACAGTATATCCCCGCATTGTCTTTACAAAAGGAAAAACTTAATTTTTATTAATATTTTGAGAAAAATGCATTCTTCATAAAAAAATTTGCTTGTTTTAAAATGGCTAATTCCGTTTATACTTTTTCAAATTTTCATACCGTTTTAGAGAAAATAAAAAGAAAATGAAAATATATAGTTGAATTTTTTCAAAACTACAAATCAAAACGCATTTTTATGGTAACGTATTTTTGTTTTCATTCTTTGATTGAGAAATTTAATTAACGTCATATTTTTTGCTGTTAATGTTAAAGAAGCACAATATTTAATTCACAATGAAAACAAAATATACGTTACCATAGAAACGCGTTTTGATTTTTAGGACACTAGGAAAAAAATCGACTATAACTTCATGTTTTTTTTATTTTCTTTGAAACGGTCTGGAAATTTGGAAAAGTGTAAATGGAATTAATAATTCATTTTAGGACAAGCAAACATTTTTATGAAGAATGCATTTTTCTTATACTACAGAATGTCAACAATAAAAAAGTTTTTCCTCTTCTGAAGACAATCAGGGGACATATATTGTTAGTTATCTTTGAAGATAAATAATGTTAGTTTAGCTCACCTTTATATCACTTTATAAAACCCAGGTAATCTCCTTGCACTGTTTATATTTAAAAATCGGATTTTGGTTGAAAATTTACTTTAAATATAACGACACGATACCGCGCAAAACTAATCATATTTCATAAAAAACACTCCAAAAAATGTCTTTTTACAGTTGCTTGATTCAGATTTTAATTTCCTTTAACTTAAAAACATTTGTTTCAAAGCCTCTTTGATTTATGATTGAAAAACATTCAACAAACTCCACAGGTCGAACAAAATGAAAAATATATGTTTACATAGTTAGGCAACCAAACATACTATTACAAAAATCGATTAATTCTACTTCTTCAGTAAAGAACCTTTATATTATATCATTTCTCCCTGTAAATTAATAGGAATAAACAAATAAAAACACTATTTTACTGTTATTTATTTAATAAATACAAAAATTCTGTTAATATATCAAAACCTATTTATAAGCTAACATTTTTCTATCTCCCTATATACAATATTTTAATAATATAAAAGAATACCAAAAAAAGTTGTAAAAAAATAGTTAAATACTTAAAAATTTCCACAGAAAATTAATTAATAAAATATTAAGGTTACTTGTCAAGTGAATAAAACATTTCTTTACTGTTCATCTTTATCTTTAGCTCCGTGCTTCAGGATACGAGTGAATTCAACATAATCAAACAGTCCCCCTTTGATCGGAGCCTCCCTGTACATTTCATCCACTTCGTCGTCGGTAAAACGGTCACCCATGGTGGTCAAAAGTTCCCTCAATCGTTCTTCATTGATAACCCCATTGTTATCCTCATCGAAACATCCAAAAGCATTCTTTATAACATCTTCTGGGTCAGTACCTTGAAGTCTTTCACCAAAGAGTGTTAGAAACATGGTAAAGTTTATGGGACCTGGGGCTTCGTTCATCATACCATCTAGGTAGTCATCGGTAGGGTTTTTTCCTAAGGAGGCAAGCATGTCATGCAGGTCTTCTTTGTCAACGAATCCGTCATGGTTTTGGTCGATCATGTTGAAGGCCTCTTTGAATTCAGCGATTTGGGCTTGGTCAAACATGGCGAAAACATTGGAAGTTGCTCTTTGAGCCCTTTTTTTGGTTGTTCCACGACGGCTTACAGTTTTTCTTGAAGACATGATGTTCTGCAAAACCAGTAACTATTATAAACAATATACTCCAAACTCTACAAAGATTTAAGTAAAAATTTCTGATTCTATTAATAAATAAGTGTCTCAATATTTGTTTAAACAATTCAGAGAAAAGATCGTTAGAATTTTTACAAACGATTTTGTATGATTAATCATGTAAATATTTGGTTCACTAAACTCAAGGTTTTTCGTTGAATTTTAACAGTTTATACTACTAAAAAATGTTCTAAAACATCTTAGCAAACAATCTACACATATTTACTTACCAAATTAGTTATTAAAAGCAGTTAAAACTGACAAAATTAACTAAAAATTGTGGATTTTGTTACAAAATCTTTCAACAACTTTTTGGGAGTGACTGACAGTTGAAGCAGGGATTTTCTTTTTTCACTTCTCAGATTGGTAGTGCTGCCACGCCTATTTTGCCATATTTGAATTGGCGCAACATATGGACAGTTTTAAAACATATTAATAAATATTTTAAAATATTTAGATAAAATCTTATTTGTAGTATTTAAAGATTATATACTAAAAAATAATAATTCTGATTTGTTTTTGATTTGTCACGATGTGGATTAATGACAGTTGCGGGTATTTCTAAAAAGGAAATTTGGTACAGAATGTAGGTCATGAAACACTATGACCATATATGGTATAAATTATAAACTTGTACCATTCAAAGTTAATTAAACATCGTATTTAGAAAATAGCTTTCAAAAAGAATTTACGACACATTACTGAGGCTGATGTAACTTAAAATAATGTAATTTTACTGTTAAATAAAGTTTTAAAGACAATAATATTTATTTTTTTGTATTGTTGAATAAATAGAACAGTATTTGACAGATTTGATATTTATTTTAAATAACTTTTAAAACATGACTTAAAGGCTGGACGTACATAAAAAGACCTAAAACAGTTTTAAACACGAACATTCTTGACTAAAACTGTTTTCATGTGATGCCTCAATGTAAATTAAATAAGCTATCGTACACACTGATCGATAGCAGAGTTTAAGATAGGTTTATGCTGATTTAGTCACAGTTAGGCACAAAAAAATGATATTAGTAAGGTATTCTCAAATTTATTGACATTATGGTGAAGGAATATATTAAAAAAATTGAAATAAAACATTTTTCTTTTATTACTTATAAAAATATATTTACATTAAAAAATGATTCGTGTTTTAGTCCAAATACACAGTACAATCATATACACAACATTCATTCAACTTGTACACCTTAAACTACAAACACATCTTAAAAATATACATTATTTTACAGTTCTAGGTAACTTATTGGTAATAATTTTCTCGTATTCTGTGTTAACATCACGTGCAGTAAATATAAGCACTCTACACAATTAAGAGTTCGTTATTTATTAACTTAAAACCGTGATTAAACCAAAATAAATTAAAATATTCTTTTGTCTACGAGTTTTTTTCTAAATATCTATGTACAGCATCACAATCAATTCAAAAGGCAGTTGTTAATATCAAAATTGGAACAACCTTATGGTGTCTATCTTATCTGACAGCTACTCCATTGATAGTAACAACGTTCCCATTCCTACCAATTGGTTCAGGTTCGTAAGTACCACTGTCCCTACTGGATTCTTCATAAGGAGCGTCATACATATTCTCATGGTCGTGAATGTTTTCATATATATTCGTTTGACCATAGTTATTGTAGCCATTGCGATCACTCAACGTTGCGTAACTCATGACGGCAGCGTTTCTATCTTCTTTCCTTTCGGCACCTTCGATGTTTTCAGTGTTTTTGACAGTCACTGGTTTGCGTCTGAAAAAAAAACATAATTTGACATTTCAGAATTAAGGCGCGTTAATGCAACATCTGTCACTGTCAAATATTCTCTGCTCTGTTTGACTAAACTATATTTTATATTATTTATGAGATTGATATGTTTTATTATTTATGAAAAACATTGTTATCGGTATTTTAGTGTTTAGTTGATGTTTATGAAAAGCAAAATTTGTATTGATTTATTTAGGTTGAGTGGTTTGTCATAGATGGCGCTAGAATCTTTAGCTTGCTGTAAGAAAGGTGAAAATTTTATTAAGGCTTTAAATTTGTATGAATTTTCGTTACTCGTATTAACTACCAGTTAAACGAGGATTTCTTTTTTTTAAAATTTATCGGGAGAGGATTTGTCTCTGACAATCCTCGTTTAAACAAATCAAAAATAATCTTCTATCATGGATAATCATAATCATGATATAATAATGCTACCTGATCATGATAGGATTATAATTTATGATTGGTTAAATGATCGTATCATAACAATTTTCTTCTATATTTGAAAATGTGATATAGTAGGAAAAAGTTATAATCTTTATCTTTGATCACAATTTTCATGATCGTATTATAATGTTATTTGATCTTTTGATCATATACTGTACTATTTGATCATTGATCAAATAATCAATGCGATTTTTTTTCTCTTATGTCAGAGCTAATGTATAGAATTTTATCATAGCAATTTTCTTCTATATTTGAAAATGTGATGTAAGAAGAAGTTATGATATTTGATCTGTCTTTGATTTTTGATCACAATTTTAATGATCCTATTATAATGCTATTTGATCATATACTATACTATTTGATCATTGATAAAATAATCACAGCGATTTTTTTCCTCTTATGTATAAAATTTTATTTATTAGAAAATAGTTATTATTTCTGCTCTGTCTTCTTTGATCACAATTTTAGAAAAAAATCCAATGAGAATTGCAAAATGCTAATGAAGCAATGACTAATGACTATATTCCACAATCCACTATATGTATATTGACTATTCCCAATCCGCATACTAGTTGATCAATTAACATTGATCATAGCGATTTTCTTCTATATTTGAAAATATAATTCTCTTGAAACAAATAATGCTATAAGTATCACAATTTTGGTTAAAAAAATTCAGTGAAGATTGTAATTGACTATTCCACAATCCGCTATTCATTCTTTATTTTATTCTGACGGTGGCAATTATTGTGTCTGTCATATTCATTCTCATACAAGTTGTATTTTCTGTGATTTTTTGAATCTCTTCTGTCGAAATTTTCCCTGATTCGTTAGACAGACTATACAGAAAGTTTTGCAATACTGAACTGACCTCTATTGTACCATAAATAGGTATTATAATTATAGGTATTGTACCATAAATAGGTATTTTCTAAACCTAAAATATTTTAGCTAAAAAGAGACTTACAATTTTAGGTAAATGATCCCCAACAGCACCAGCAAAAATACCACAACTCCTGCACCTATCCCTATACTTGTACCCAAATTTGAATCTTCCTGAGGTTCTTCTGTAGCCACTAAAATACAAAAGAAAAACAGAAAATTACAAAACAATTAAACAAAAAAACTGGTAACATACTTTCACATCTTGGTTGATCACCTGACCATAATCCATTATCTAGACACTTCCTCAAGTAAGGTCCTATCCTTTCGTAGGATGGGATACAAAGGTATTCTACTGCACTGTTGTAAACTGTACCATTGGTAACTATCACTCTGCCATTTTCTATTAAACCAGGATGCCCACAATCGACAGCTGAAAAAGGTTGTGTGTTCAGTAATATTAAAATAATTCCTAAATACCCTATGATCGAAAAAAAAACGGTATCAAAGACGGCTGCGAATGATAATTAATGATACTTTTTGCGGGGTTAATCTCTAGACTCATTTACTAAAAATTAACCGTCTTTGAAACTGTTTTTCGATTTTATAGTACCGTATGATCGAAAAAAAAACGGCGTCAGCGATGGCTATGAAATGAAGATCGCTGTCATATTATATGTAAATTCATTTTATATGTAATTTCACAGCCAACTGGACTATATTGTGAACATTAATTTTCTTCTTAAAATAAATTCAGCCTGTATATTCAACAAGTACTTACGAACACACGTTGGAGCTAACCCATTCCAAGACCCATTCTTCTGACATATCCTGGTAGAATTACCCTGCATTGTATGTCCTCTAGAGCAGTAATACTGAGCCACTCCACCGACGCTGTGAGTACTGATCTTGAATTCAACACCAGCAAAGGTGTCTGGGTTCTTACATTGAATTTCTATCAAACCAAGAACCAAATAACTAGTTTTTTAGAAGATTAATCGTTAAGTATTTTAGGAAGAATTTCATCTATGCAATAATGTTTTGTTTCTTAAGTGTATAAAATACAACTAAAATACGTATGTACACATGTTCACAAAATTAGAAAAACATGCCAGAAAATAAATAAACATTTTCGTACCTTTACAGAGTGGCGTGTCTGAGCTCCATGTACCATTTTCCAAGCACAAACGTCTTGAAACACCATCCAGTTCAAAATTGGGATCGCAAGAGTACAGAGCTAGTGCTCCATAGTAAGTAGCGTTTGATGGTAAAGTCACAATACCGTTGTTGATTTTTTCTGGATTTCTACAGTCCACATCTAAGAGAAAAAAGACAGTCATATAATAAGTTTTAGATTAATAAAAAAACAGAGTAGGTATATTAAGATTAATAAAAAAAACATATCGGAGATGGAGAACTAACTAAAACGATGTAAACCAGTCTCAGATACTGGCTTATCTCAAAGCACTGAGACTGTATTATCATCAGCTATATCTCAAGAAAGGGGAACACAAAGAACACAAAACTTTCCCCCCTCCTATGCAATCTCCCAAGTAGCATTTTTACGACTTGCGACCACATGTTTACTAAACACAACGTTGGATTAGTTACAAAAAATAGTTAGCTCCGTACCTTGGGTATTAACATAAATTTAAACGTTTTTATAACGTTGTGCCGACGTTTAACTAGTACTACAGCAAAGTAAAAGCTTCTGCGACGTCGAATAAACGTTGTCTTGTAACCTTTTTTGCTTAAGTGATCTTTAGGTGATTCGGACAACGTAGTTACAATGTTGGGCAATAGAGAGTTTTCCGACGTCAGTTTCCGGACCTATTCCAACGTTATAGAAACGTCGTCTGTTTTACAGGTTTTACTAATTCCAACGTTGTTTAGATTTCCTTATTCTTACGTTGGTAGGACGTCGAGCCACTACCTTTTTGCAACTGTATTGAACTCTGAACCATAACCTTAAATCTTAAATTTTTACTTCATTGTTCTGTTCAGTGCTGTTTTTGTTTTTATAAAAAAAAACTTAATTAAAATGGGACGTAAGAAAGGCACATATAAAATACCCTAAATTTAAATATACATCGACATATTACCGATACTTTATCCACTCGCTCGTTTATTTAGAATATAGAGGGTAGGACAAGCAAATTTTGCTTTGACGTTTGACAATTGATGGCCATGTCTAAACTCTAGGATGACTAAATTAGGCAATGTTGCGACTAGTATACCTAGTATACTACCTGTTAAGGCTGAACTGCGACTTTATTAGTCCAGTATGCGACTACCCGAACTACTCCATCTTAATCTCCAAAACAACAAAGTGAAAGCCGCCATGTTGTTGAATAAGAAAATGTTTTGTTTCTAAAATAGCAACTCCTGCTTTTTGAATACATTAACTTGAAATATTTGACCCTAAACAACACGCGGAAACATTTTTTTTTTCGACTGCGAAATTATTCTCATTTCATTAAAAAAACATTTTTGAGAAATTTTTTAAAACTTTTTTTCAAAGTAGCAACAATATTTTTATCAATAAAGTTGTTTGCGTTTAACTTTTTTGCATTGGGTAACGAGTTACAGAGTTGGTTAAAGTGATTCAATAATTATGATTTTCAAACATCCTCCACACTTAAACACTTTTGTTTTGTTTTCCTTTACTGCCATCTGGCATATGTCTCTAACTAAATCATAAAAATAATATTTTTACTATAATTATCCCAATTTAGGATAAAACGCGACTTAGACGCCATATTTTTATAGTTTTGTATTTCTGTGAATTAGGATTTTAAACAACGGTGCAGTTTGTGATAAATTAGGCTGCTAGCCAACGTAGGTATCCAACGTCGTTTCGACCCAAAAATTATTCTCCAAACTAGTACAGGCTACAGACGTCCAAATGCTGCTTGGGCTACAATCTACAACACACTTACAGACACATTGTGGCACATCTCCACTCCACTGTCCACTATCCTCGCAAGTACTCAGGGGTTCCCCTACTACTTTATACCCTCTTTCGCATCTATATTTGGCCAAAGCACCGATTTTGAAGGAAGAAGCTCCAACGTTTGAAGTTTCAGCTGTTCTTATAAGTGTTCTACCATACATTCTGTCATTTCCGGTCACTGAGAGAATGCTGTGCTCGGCTAGAATAGGCTCAGGGCATCTGATTTCTGAAAACAGATATAAAAAATTTAATAACTTTTTATTTAAACAATAAGAAAACGTAAAAATAGTTATTTATGGTACTAGTGTGTTCTCAAGTAACTTATATTACTAACACACGAGTGCCATACAAAATTTGCCCTTTTTTTTGCCCAAACGGGGCCCGGGGCGGACCGCCCCTTCCGCCCCCCCTTAATCCGCCACTGCCCTGTGGAATATCCTTGGTGCTTGTCCGAATTTGATTGGAACAGTCAATAATGCGTTGCCGTAGTTGCTCTTCAGTATTAATCGGCACTGAGTAAACCAAAGCTTTCAAAGTGGCACCAGAAGTAGAAATCTAGTGGATTATTTCGTTTTTTAAAGCAATAAGATATTTTAAAAATCACAAAATTTTGATTGTTCAATTAATTATTTGACAACTACTTGGTTACTTTTGAACCGCCATAACTTTCATAAGTTTATGTTGATACCAACCCATCGGAGCATCGGCTCTTTGCCGTCAATTTTTTCGAAAACCATCACTCTGGGCGATGTGCAACAAGAGTACCTTTTTTGTAGGAAAGAGTATGTAGTTTTCAAAAAATGAACCCGCGTTGCAAAAAAATAACCTCTAAGAAGTTATTCACGAAACAACACACACATTTTACTATATCACATTTTAATATTGTAAATATGTAGTACCTTCACATTTTGGAGTCGCATCACTCCAAAGACCATTCTGCATACAATATCGTTTAGTAACTCCAATAGTTTTGTAATTTTTGGCACAAGTGTATGTTAGTTCGCTTCCCAAGTATGTAGTACCATTAGTGTAGTGTACCTCTCCATACAACATTGTAGGAACTTTACCACAATCAATATCTAAAACATTTTTTTTATAGAATATCCAAATCAACTCGATCTAAACAAAAAAAATCTTACATTCACACGTTGGTGTAGTACCAGACCATTCACCACTTCTTTGACATAGACGTGAAGGTTCACCGCGAAGAATGTGGCCAACTTCACAGTGGTACTCTATGTTGGAATGGACGTTGAAATCTACCCCTACTACGTAACTTCCTGAAGGTACGTCGGGTTCTTCGCATGTTATTACTTCAAAAAAAAAACGGAAAATTAGTTAATATCAAGAACTACTTACTACTTATAACACCCTGTATATACTTACACTCGCAAAATGGCGTGTCTGCAGACCATTTGCCTTCCCTCGTACATTTCTGAACTTTTTGACCATCCAACCAATAGTCGTTGTCACAAAAGTACTCCACAATACTCTCTACCGTGGTGGTACTGTTCCTAAGTTCGTACCGACCGAAATCTATGTTCGGTGGAGCTCCGCAATCGACGTACTTACACGTGGGAGCTTTGCCAGACCACTCACCACCCAAGCCACAAGAAAGTACCTAAATAATTAAAAAAAGAATGTCTTAGTACCTTTGTTGCAATAAAATATCTCATTTGTGTCAAGATTTTTATCTACTGTATTAAAATTTTATTTTGTCTTACTTTCAATAAGCTGTAACTTATGTCTTTATATTTAATATACCGGGTGCGTCTCAAAAGTGAGTCACCTCTATATTTTTTTTATTTTTTTTCAGATAAAAAAACATAAATTAGGATTGATTGACGTATTCAATTATTTTTGGTCACTTCCTGTTTCACAGGAAATGACTACAACTTTTGATTTTTAGATGGCAACCTCGGTATATTTCTACTTTATTCGATAGAAAATGACATTCTGAATTGAATGACATATTATCATATGTCAACTTTTGACATTTTCGCATATGGTTTATTTGAAATTATAACATGCAGTCCATAACGACAATTTGACTCGAAATACCAAAAAGTGGTACTAAATTATTCGTAAAAAAAGCTTTTTCCAAATATACTAATGAGCCACCTTTGTTTTATTTGAAAAAATTGAGATATGATTAAAAATACGATTTGGACATCTTTTAATCAGCCAGGACAAGACACGAAAAGTCATTCTCTATCGAATAAAGTAAAAAAATACAGAGGGTGCCATTTAAAAATCAAAAGTTGTAGTCATTTCCGGTAAAACAGGAAGTGACCAAAAACAACTGAATACGTCAATCAATCCGAATTTATCTCATATACTAACATACCAAATCTCGTTTTTTTATCTAAAAAATAAAAAGTTTAGGGGTGAGCCACTTTTGAGGCGCACCCGGTATATTCCAAATCAAAAAAATGTGCTACTTATTGCACTTCTAATATACAGGGTGAGTCATAATAAGTAAGTTAAATAAGTGCACATTTTTAGGGCTGGTAGATCTCGATAAAAGAAACAATATTTTCTCTTTACCGTTTTTCAAATAAGTTGTGTTGTGTAATTTTGAAAACCACTGTCATTTTTTCGGTATTTTAGTCTCTCTAAATTTAATCTACTATTTGTGCTGCCATATCATCAATATATTACGTTTTTTAACTAAAAATTAAAACAAATTTAATTTTTCCTTTCAAAAAATAAAAAATATCAATTATTTTGTGAAAAAAATAGATAGGAAAAATTCCTCATAGACTAGTGTTCCTGGGATCGAAATACACCAACATATTTACAAAATATGTGCACTTAATCTCTAAACTCGCCCTCTAAAGGACGTTAAAAAATATATAAAAATAACATTATAGGAATGATTTTACCCCTTCTCCGGAAATGACGTAGCCGGATTGACAGGTATAAGTGGCAGTATCTCCAGCTCTGTGTCCAGAGGTATGGACAACCCCTCCATGGATATCAGGCGGATCTGGACACCAATCGAAAAGACACTGAGGTGTGGAATTGGTCCATTTTCCGTCATCACCGCAAGTTCTAATTTCGTGTCCTATATCAGAAAAAAATCAGTTTAAAAGCGCGTTTTCACAAAGGTCAAGTGAAATGATTAAACTTATGAAACTATAAAGAAAGATACAGAAGATTGTTATTGACTTACCTATTAATGTGTAGTTTTCATGACAAGTATATATAGCTCTAGCTCCATGAGTAGTTCTGGAATCTTTCAGAGTAACTGTTCCATGATCCATGTTAGACAGACTTCCACAATCAACAACTAAAATAATAAAACAAAATTTCGTTACCGAGTGAATTGGTAGAAAAGATATAAAGGTTTTATACATTTGCAAGTTGGAGGCATGCCAGTCCAAAATCCTTCCTTTCCACAAGTCCTGTTGCTGTCTCCTATGAGCATGTGCCCTTCTGGACAGTTGTAGTGGATTGTTGCTCCAAGACTGTAGTCACTTCCGGCTATTGTGGTGTTGATTAGTTTGTCAGGACTTCCACAAGATGACGGCACTAAAAAATATGTGAAAATTGTGAAGATGCTTATATATTTAAGAATAAAAATATCTGCTAGGTTATTGGCATATAAGAAAAATGACAGTAGGTGATAGAAATACATATTTAGGTACTCTCTTTGTAGTTGGTCACTTTGTTGTCTATTGTTAGCTATGCCGGGCCCAAGTTATCCGCGCCGCTAATTTCAAGTTTGGTCTTCTTCTAGGTCTCTTAATTCCTCTTGAGTACCATGCTGTAATTTTTGTAGTATATATGTTGTCCGTCTTTCTTGCCAGGTGTCCTGCTCATTGCCACTTGAGGGATTTGATTCTGTGGATGACATCTATTACTTGGGACTTTTGTCGTATCCACTCTATTCTTTTACGGTCTTATTGGGTTATTCCAAGAATATTTCGTTCTATTGAGCGTTGTGCGACCTCCAGTTTCCTTATAATGTCCGTTTTAAGTGTCCAGATTTCGCATGCATAGGTCATGACTGGTAGTACACATTGGTCGAATGTTTTCTTCTTTATACAGGGTGTTTCAAAACAAATGCGAAAAACTTCTGGGTGTGATTCCTTGTTCAAAATAAAGGGTAGTTTGCTTTATAAACGTTGGGTCAAAAGGCAACCATTAGGGGGATATCGCGGTACAAATGACGAAAAAATAATGCTTTTATTTTTTATATTGAAAACGAAAAGCGATAGACTAATGAAATTTTATGGAAGCATTACTGTTATGAAAACACACTTTCTGGTAATTTTCTCACTTTTTAAAATGAGTGGAAGGGGTTGAAATAAACTACCCCTATCATTCTTTTTAACGAAATTTAAAGAAAAATCTTACCAAACATATATTTGGATAGTTTAGTTTGTTTAGAAACTTTTTTATCTCGTGTTTTTTTGATAAAACTCACCGATTTGAAACTAAAAAATAAAACGTAAAGCATTACATGTCAGGACAAAAAACATTTTTAGATAAAGAATTTAGTGGGTTGCTGTAATTTTTTTAGGAAAAAATATAGTCAGCCGCTGTCACTTTTTAGGATGTTTCTAATATTATTTTATTTGAAAATACTTTACTGCAATACATTATTATCTAGATTATTATTATTTTCGTCATTATCACTAGATTCAGTATCTAAAATTTTTTTTTTTATCCTGACATGTAATGCTTTATATTTTATTTTTTAATTTCAAATCGGTGAGTTTTATATTTTGCATGTATTTGATAAGATTTTTCTTCGGAAAATTTCGGTAACAAGAATGATAGGGGTAGTTTATTTCAACCCCTTCCACTCATTTTAAAAAAGTGAAAAAATTGCCAGAAAGTGTGTTTTCATAACAGTAATGGTTCCATAAAATTTCATTAGTCTATCTCTTTTCGTTTTCGAGATAAAAAATTAAGACATTATTTTTCCGCCATCTTTGTACCACGATATCTCCCTAATGGTTGACTTTTGACCCAACATATATGAAGCAAACTACCCCTTTATTTTGAACAAGGTATCACCCCCTAAAGTTTTTCGCATTTGTTTTGGAACACCCTGTATAAAGTGGCATTCTAGATTTCAATATGATTGAGTTCCTTCATGCTTAATTCTTCTGTTTATTTCTGGTAGTAGAGATCCCGAGCTGTGTATTAGTTGTCTCAAATTATGGTATTTTATTTTATTTTAATTGTAAGGCCTAATAAAGAGTTCAAATAACTCAAAGAAACTCAAACAAATTTCAAAGTTATAAACATAGAGTAAAGCTCAGACTGAAATGTTGTTTCTATACCTACTGTGACGTCGTTTTATTTTAACCACAAATTATTATTAGTTGATCATTTTTATAAAATATTAGAAAGTTTCTCCCAAGCATAATTTTTTGTCTTGTGTATTTCTAAATTGAAATTAACCAGAATAGTGAAATACAATAATAGTTTTTTAATAAAAAAAAACAGAATGATCTGACAATATTTTTCTAGGAGTTTTTTTTGCACAGAATTAAAATAAAATACAACTATTAAATTTTGCAATAAATGAGTCTAGATATAAATAAAAATGTTCTTTCGCTAGATTAGTTAAGGTAAATTTGCTGTTTCAATTTATAATGTTTTTTTTTACAAAATGCATACAAAATCTTACATAATTTTATTCTTAACTTATTTAACCATGTATATTATTTAAAAATAGTATACTTATTACATACCGGGGAGAGAAGTGTGTTTCCTCCGAGGTTTGTATACTATTTTATTTACAACCACATCATTAATTAAAAAATAGGGACGGTATTTTATTTTGAAAAAAATAAATAAATATGCGAAAATTTGTCGCTTTCTGTTTTGGCATTTCTATATCTATAGTTACCAGTGGTTGTTATGGCGCAAACCAGGGGCGGGAAAGTGAAATAACAAAAGCGGTTCCACCGTTTCCACGGAAATTTCAAATAAAATAGTTCCAGCCTCAGGCGCTAGGTGGTAGTGCAATTAATTATTAGGTTAAGAAGTTGCTACTAGTTATTGCCAGATGGCGTTAAATCAGAAATTTTTTGTAGTTTCCATAGTTTCCAATGGCCATTGTCATACTATTGTCAAATTCTCAAAAAATATTGTCGTTGTCATAGCGCCAATCACAATATTATCAAATGATTATCAAAACGTTTTTCAAACTATAATTTGTTATATTATGTGTTTTAATTAGACAATTCCTTTTGTTTGTGGCCCTAAAAATATAATGTAAGTCTTTTATTTTTGCCATTATTTAACTACCTATTTATATTTACTCCATTTACAAAACTTTGGGCGTGTTACGTTGGTCTTGTTTTATTATAATAAACGTTGTTTTGAATATTTGATTTATAAATAAAAACTTTAAATAATAAATAATATTTAGACAAGTTTGGCTTTAATTTTATTTAATTATTGTATAAATTATACTGTTAAATCCTATTTTTTACACATAACAACGATACTTGTTATTAGTATTGTTGAATTTGCGTAAAAAATAAGATTTAATAATTAAATTTAATTATTTTAGAGTAAAATCTAATAAATACGCTCATTTAAAAAGCCCGCGCTTCGATCCATTTAAAACAAGCCCTACTCAATAGATGGCGCCACATCTGTAGAACTATTTTTCAGTATGGCAGAGTCCATTCTTTTTCTAGCTAGGTATCATAGATAAATGTAACAAGTTTAGATTGGAAAGCCCGTAAAAATTTTAGGTCGCGAAATTATTTTGGGTCGCGACCGTTATACGCGATCTGGCGCTGCTATAGCGGTCGCTAAGAACAACGGCAAACAAAAACAGAAATAATTTTCTCTTGTCAAAGTCAGAATCTTCAAAAATCATAATAATTTTCAAAATCTAAACCGCTCTCATTAAAGAAATTCCGAAAAATGTTTATAGCGTTCATTTTCAAAGTAATTATTGCTATCTTGTGAGTTTAATTCAAGTTTTATTTACTCCAACCGGTGATAATTGTGAAAAAGTGGCATTAAAAACTTAAAAAGCTGTGCTGTGAACTGTGAACTGCAAAAATCATCGTGGATCGTGGCATAACGTCGGTTTCCAATGTTTCATAGGTATTTCATACATGCGTCCTTATATAAAATAAAGTTTCTTGTATGCAACACACTGTCTTTTATTTATAAAATTAAACGAAAATAATAATAAATTTGAATAAACAATATTTGGAGATATAATTCCGGAAAAAGCCGAACCGCTCCGAAATGTTCAAAAGTTTTGGGTCGCGACCGTTGCAAGAATAGCACCAAATAGTGTTTACATTATCCTTATGGGCACTTTCCAATCTAAACTTGTTTCGTTTATCTATGCTAGGTATATTTTTTGGTGTACATCAAAACGAAAGTAAATCAAACAAATACAGTGTGTTGCATCAAATAAAAAATCTATTTATAAAACAATAATAATTACGCAAAATAAATTCAATTTATACAGCGTACGCGTTTTATAGTGCCTTTTTTATTTGAACAATTACATAATCGTTTTATTAATATTCCTAATTATTCAATTAGAATACAAATCGCTTGCTTTATGCGCGGTGTTAACCTTGCTTGAAATTCTGTTTCGCGCCCGTAAATTGTTTACATAATATTAAACAAAATAATGAAAGCAATCTGCTGGTCGATGCGAAAGAACTGTTGTACGTTTTTCCTTAATGGTTTCGATAAATATTGTGGAAATGTTGCAAAGTGACCACGCCTGTTACATTAACAGGTTTTTGTGGCATTTGTAAAGTTCAAACGTCAAACATTGTGTATGTTTTTTGTTTCCTCTTATTTCTTTCTTCCATTGATGCGGGCAATGCGTCGCATCCCTTCAAAATGTTATACACACGTAAAAGTCCACATAAACGTTGATTCTCACTATACCTTCCATATCAGCTCCCTTCCGTTTACATAAAATATTATACAGGGTGTCCGGAAATCTCAGGGCCCTGTTGGACGAAAATGACTAAATTTGGAAAACGTTGTTTTACCATAAAATGACATTTTTTGATGCTATTAACTTTTTTTTATTTTCATCAGTGGCGTCCCTACGGTATTTAAACTAAATATTATTGAAGAAAAAAATGGTACGTCACTGGTTTCTTTAAATAAAAATTACTTTTAAAATCTACATTTTCTTATAATATATTCGCATCCATCATATAGTATATGTTGGTTACAAGATGCGTATTATAAAAAAGTATCTATATGTTACATGGTCTAATAATGCATGAATAAACAAAATAGAAATAAATAAAAAATATGGTCGAGTCAAGGCTAGAGTGATCTTACCGTGCTGACAAATCCAGTGCAGGTAATCTAGATTGCATCCCACGTCATTCCATAGCCAGCCGCGACCTCCGTCCAACACCACGCAATTCTGCTCGCCGTTGTAGTTGTTGGGCTGGTCCTTGCCCCACGAAGGGCGCAGCACTAAATCACCTGTCGACAAAGGAATTTACTTATTCTATAAGATATAGGTTTCATCCAAGCACTATAAAATAAAATATTGTACATCATTGGTAAGTAATTAACTTTTACAGTATTCATTTCAAATTTCTGGGCTCAAAAATGACGTTTTGTTTCAATAAACTGAAAATTATTGATTAAATATTATCAGTATAAAAGTTAATTACCTACGTATCATTCATCTTAGATACAGGGAATACTTAATAAGAAATATGGTTCGATAAAACCTGTTGTAAAATGCACCATTGCCAAATACTCCATATTGTTTAATAAATAAATCAACATTATTTCAATGACATTATCTTAGCAGAATTAAATTAGAATGGCAACCTAGCAAAGCTGCAATAATTTTTAAACGGATAGGCACTGAAATAAATTCAGTTTAACTTTCCAATGCCCCAATCTTTGGCATTTTTGAATGGAGGAAATCGTGCAACTGCACTTCAGGGTTTAGAGTAAGTCGTGTCTGTTAATAAATTACTAGTAGTTGCAACACTATCAGAAAAAAAACATTTTACATTTGAACCTTTTCAAAGATAACAGTGGCAGTGCGCGATATGTGAAACAGTGAACTGGATGAAAATATGTAATCAAGGATGATTACATTCAATAATTCCACTCTGAGTGATTCACTTATTTGGTTATACATCAAAATAGAATTTTTTTAAATAGAAAAAAAATCTTTCACAATTCGTTTTTAGATCTTTTGTAATTAACATACATCAAAAATTCAAGTTTTTACCAAAACTTCGTATTTAAAAAAATGATGCAGTGTAAACCCTGTTTGAACCTACTCGCTTAGAGTTTTCTTCGATCATAATTAGCGATGGGAACTATCGAATGAATTAGACTATCGAATGGTTAATGAATGAATGATTTCAACTATCGAATGGTTTTATTCGAATAAAATCATTCATTCATTTGTATACTAAAGCATATGTGACAACCTCGCCGTGCGACTAAATGGTTATCGTTGAGTCACGACTATCGAATGCTTTTGATAAATGAAATTTAGTATTCGTTTGATTTTTGTATGCGTCAGTGGGCATTATTAGTTCTTCCAAATTTTTATAACTTCGCCGTATAAATACTGTGCTATTTTTGCGTTTATTAAAATAGTTAAAATACTAAAATAGTAGTTATTTTTTAATTTTATTTATTGACGATTGTGTGCATGTGCAGGTGGTCAAAATTTTTCCGAAAATTTGTGTGGTTTTCCGTAGTCCGATCTTTCAATTATTTAATTTTATATGGTATATGGTCTATTTTTTAATGGGAAATTTTGAGAAGTAGCAATTTTTAAGAGAGATGGGATGAACGTACAATTAATTTTAAAAATACATATTTGTATTTTAGATGTTTTAATAATATGAAGTAGTTGAAGTTAATAATCATATTTAAGTAATGTGGTTGTATAATCATATTTAAGTAAATGGTTATCAAACTCAAACTATGGGGTGAGAAAATTAAAATGAAAGTTTTACACGTGCCAATTTAAAAAAAAAAGTTAACGATGTTTGTATTTTGTTTATGCTAATTCTCTTACATGTAGTTTTTGCGAAGAAAAAAATATTTCATTTATTTTTTAAAGTAAATGCCAGTAAAAGTAAATATAATTTTTAAATAGTAATATAAAGCACCTAATATAAATAATTTTGATTTCCAATTTTTATTTATATTTTCCTTCCATTACACTGCATGCTTAGAAAATTAATAAATGTTTATATTTCATGATTTTAAAATTTGTTGTTAATATAACAAATTAGTTCTGTAATTATTATTATTTAATAAACCAACGTTGCCAAAAAAAATTTAGAGACTATATTATTTTTAAATAGGATCTAATATAAATAATTTTGACAACTAATTTGTTGTTTATATTTTGCTACTACTTAAAAAAAATATTTATATTAAATGATTTTAAATTTTGTTGTTAATAGGTATAACAAATTATTACTGTTATTATTATTTATTAAACCAGTCTTTGCTAAAAAACATTAAAAATAATTTTCCTGCATCCAAAATAACAAGTATTATTGCAATGTAACAACAGAATATTAATAAAAAAAAATGCAGAATATATAGACATACTATCCCTAATTAACTAAAGCCAAACAATAATATTCTTTGCTAATATCAACTAATACCAAAATATGGCAACAGCGCCCTTCATAATGTATTTTCTGTGTAAATACTAGCACCTCAATAAAAAAAATAATGTGTCCTTATCTATATCTCTGACTCCGCAAAAAATCAAAGATGCCGGCTTCTTTCATAGCATTGCCACCGACCGCTGTCGGGTTTCTCGGAAAGAAACCTACGTCGCCGGGCGACAACTAAAATTCAGTTAATATTTTATTATAATCCATCCTGACGAATGAATGAATTTCATAAATGAATGAATTTTATAAATAAATGGTTTTTGCAGCCGAATTACTAGAATACAATATTTCAAGGCAGATGACGGATCTATTCGATAATTTTTATTCGAATAGTTTTCAACGAATGTTTTCTTACTAACTATCGAATTATTCGAATGAATTGCAACTATCGAATGTTTCGATAGTATTCATTCGATAGTTCCCACTACTAATCATAATCCATAAAAGTGATAAATATCAATAAACCAACTTTTAATTTATGTGCTTTGCAGTCTTATAAATATTGCAACGTATATTCCATAGTAAAAAAAACTACATATTAATGAATAATTTATAAGCATCTATTTAACACGAGTCAGTATTGCGCAAGTTTTAATTTCTACTTTATAAAGCGATCTTATGGGAATTAATGTTGTTATAACGCTACTTAAGCGCTGAATTAATAGCTTCATTGTTTTTTAACTTTGCCTTTTTTAAATTGTGTTACTGAAATAGTGAAAAGAATAATAAAGTACCTAATATTAAATTTGATGGTTAGAAATTAAGCTCAATTTATTATACAGTGTGTTTCAAAAAACATGTACCATCTTTCGTTATTTTTCTTATCAACATAGGTCATATAGGATTAATAAAATTGCGTTTATCTCATCAAGGAGGCCGAAATCGACAAAATATCAAAAGGCAACTTTTAATCGGCATTAAACTGCTTACACGATTCTGATATCAAAAGAAAAAAGTCAGTGGCGCACATGTTTATCGATACTTTTTCAGCATTAAAATATGTAGCACTTATAGTAACTTTTACCCCCAAAATTTCATTTGAATCACTAAAAGTACTTGGAACAAAAGTATAATAAATCGAATGATTATTAAGACTTTAACACCCTGTAGCTACGAAACAAAGCAGAATCGGACCTATGTTGATATGAAAAATAAATCTTATTTTAATGTGGGGAATCTCCCTAAGAGAGATGGCACATGTTTTTTAAAACACCCTGTATATCTACTAAATGCAAAGACTGATGAATTAAGTCATTCAAATCTTGAAACAAATCGCACTTTTCCAGACCGTCAAACACAATGGCGTAGAAGAAAGTCTTTCTCAATTAATTGTTACTTGTAATTAATTCAATTTTCATTGTTTTAAATCACCGGAGGTGTTGTTGAACCGAACTTTGTACGAGCATAAATAATTCTCCGTTAATTACCGACACAATAGACAGATGCTTGAAAAAAAAAGCATCTTGGTTCATTAGAGAAAGATTTAGGATATTAGAATACCTTCTGTCAGTGTTTGGAGTTATTCAACTGCCTATTTAATGCTATACAGGGTGAGTCTTAAATAAGTGCAAATATTTGCAGGGCTGGTAGATCTCGGTAAAAGAAACATATTTTCTCTTTATCGTTTTATTTTTTATTTTCCTCTCTATCGTTATTTTTTCGTTAAATTTTCTCTTTATCGTTATATTATATTTTGCTTAAATTTTGAGAACCAATTAATTGGGTTTTCTGGGTTTTCTATCTTGTAAATTTAATCTACTACCTAGGTTGCCAGAATTTTTTTTTCCAAAAATTCCAAATTTTATTTTTTTTGCAAAAAACCCTTATAATCGTGTTTTTGGTATCCAAATATACTACTCCTAAAAATATTTGCACGTATTTAAGACTCACCCTGTATAATGTCATTAAATGCGTTTTAGAAGATTCATTTTTTGGTGTTATTTCAATTTTTCTTAGAATAAACTATTTGAATTTAAAACTATAAAAAATGAAATAATAATAATAATGGACATTTTATCAATGCAAAAATATTTAATTCACTTAGTGGATAAAATGCAATTAAAACACGAGTGAAATACAACGTTTCATCCACTAACACATGTATACCGGGTGCGTCCCAAAATTGGCTCGCCCCCTATAACATTTTTATTTTTTCAGATAAAAAAACGTCATTTGGTATGTTAGTATATGACATAAATTAGGACTGATTGACGTATTCAGCTGTTTTTGATCACTTCCTGTTTAACCGGAAATGACTACAACTTTTGATTTTTAAATGACACCCTCGGTACTAGGTATTTTTTTTTACTTTATTCGATAGAAAATGGCACTCTCAATCGCATATGGTTTATTTGAAATTGTAACATGCGGTTCATAACGACAATTTGACTCGAAATACCAAGTATGTGATACCAAATTATAGTGATGAGTGAAATATCGGTAACTGTGATTTTGTCACTGATATTCTATAATCACAGTCTCGGCCTGTGACTGATTTGAAAATAAACGGTGACTTGCTAGAGCGTGACGATTATAGTTAATTGTGATTTCTCTGGTAACGAGAAAATACTTCACAGAGCGGGACGTCGCGCGTCGCGAACGCAGCTGCCGATGGCGCCGTACGTCTCATAGGATAGATATCTGACAAAGTGATCTAATGACAGTGACTGTTAGAAGTGATTTAATTTTTTATGTATTTTATATTTTATTACTATTTTTTTATCACTACGAATCGGTTTGGTTCCTTTTTAGTTTAGCAGGTTTTTTTAAAGCCAAACATAAAGTTTTACCTTTATACTGTTTATTTTTTTTAGAAACTTCATTTTTTATATATTTCGTTTATTTTAATACAAAGGAAAATATTTGTTGTTTAATGTATTACTTATCTCGTGTTGTTAAGTTTCGTTCGTTATGGTTATGAGCATATTGCATATTTTATTCTTTTCCCGTTGGTTTCTTTAAACAAAAAAAAAATTGTTTTATTTTTATTTTATAATATACCTTTTACCCACTGTTTAGTGTTTTCTATTTCAGCGGCCTTGGATAAAGGACAAATAAAAATTAGTATAACAACAACAACAGAATCGTATCATTCGTATCGTATCTTATATTTTAGCCGTGATTGTGCTTTCGGATTCATAATCATAAAGTCACAGTCACACTTAAGAGTCACAGATAATACAAAGTCGCTGTCACAGGTAAGCCTGTGAACAGAAAATCACGGTTTGTCTCATCACTACCAAATTATCCGTAAAAAATGTGTTTTTTTCCCAAATATGCTAAAAAGCCACTCTTGTTCCATTTGAAAAAATTGAGATATGATTAAAAATACTATTTGGGCATCTTTTAACCGGCCAGGACAAGACACGAAAAACATTAGACGATCAAATCTATTTTTCCAAGGCTCCTTGATTAAAAATTAATGTTTTTAACACAGCCATGGCACTCTAGATTGAAATTACGATGAAATACGATCTTTTTTTAAGCAAAAATGTCAAAAGTTGACATATTATCATAAGTCATTCTATTCAGAGTGTCATTTTCTACCGAACAAACTAAAAATATACCGAGGGTGCCATTTAAAAATCGAAAGTTTTAGTCATTTCCGGTAAAACAGGAAGTAAGAAAAACTAATTGAATACGTCAATCAATCCTGATTTATGTCATATATTCATAAATACAAAATCTCATTTTTTATCTCAAAAAATAAAAAAAAACTTACAGGAGCCGAGCCACTTTTAAAAAACACCCGGTACATATCTACAGGAACAAGTAAATTTCCTCATCCTTTTATTAAAACCATTATTATTTTCCAAGATTAAACCAAATTGTTTGTTTCAAATCGGATTGGAAGTACCGCAAACCTAGACAGCGTAAAATAGAAAGCCAAAGATGGTAAGAATTTGTTTTATTATTACATACAGTACAGTTACAAAAATAAAATGCCTGACTAAATACAAAAATATCTTTTTACAAACTACCTAGAGCGTAAAATTATCTATAATCCCATACAAACAAAAATACTTATATTCTACGAAAAATAACAAAAACTTTATTACTTAACACAATCTTTTTCGGGAAGAGTGATGTTGATGTTCTTCACCAAAGGAGACATCTTCTGAAACTCAATATTCTTCCTAACTTTTTTCCTCAAGTCATGAAGACAACTACAATTCAGTGGGTTCCCTATCAAATTCAAAGCCTTGATTTTACTTAGTCCATTTTCCATAAACTCTTTTGGCAGACAGTTGATATTATTATGAGACAAATTCACCTTATCAGCTTTAACAAGCTTGATCAAAACCACAGCATCGGTCAGCTCATTATGATCCAAATAAACCTCCTTGAACTCCTTGATGTCAAAAGCCAGCTTATGAATTTTATTAAGCTTGTTATAACTGAATTCAACCATCATAACGTTATCACTAACAGCTGCAAACAGATTTGCCGGTAACTGTTCGATAAAATTGTTCTTGATTGAAATATGGTTCAATTTCTGACAGCCTGCAAATTTTAAATCGTACTGAGAGAGTTCGTTGTGGTCCAGGATGATGGTAGTTAGGTCTTTCATGTTGTCAAAAGCTTCACTCTTGATGGTTCGTATTTGGTTGTGGGAAAGGTTCAAAAATCGTACCGTTAGGTTGTTGAAGACTCCTTCATCGAGTTGTGGAATCTTGTTAAGGGTTATTGACAAGTTCTGAAGGGTTTTGGGAAGATTGTTGAAGGCTCCTGGTTTGATATAAGTTAAACTGATATTGTCCAAGCTCAAAACCTTTAATTCTGGTATAAATGTCAGATCAACGGCACTCAAACTTTCTAGAGAAGTGTTTAGTTGAATTTTTTCAGATTTTCGTAGTCCTTCAGTTATTTCTGACCGGGCTTTGTACAAATAGGGTTGGGTACTGTTCGATTCGTACCATAACAGATCGAATTCAAACACTTCTGTATCGATAGCAGCGATTTTAGACACAAAAAACAAGAAAAACACGTATTTGAGAATCATTTTCGCTACTGTACTAGTTAAAACGAAAGAATGTACGGTAATAACAACTCGGCAGCTTCTACAAAGAATACTAAATTGGGAAATTACAGGATAGAGGCATTTGGCTTTTAAAAGCCTTGTTTATATTGCCGCAATTTCTTAATTTCGATCCTAATTGAGACACGGGCGATTTATCATCCTATATACCGGGTGTTTCGAAAGTACTGTACGTTTTTGAAGTGGAATCTCTTTACGTGCGTTGAGAGTACAAATTCAAAGCCGTAAAACACGAGCTAGCTCAGGAAATTGCGGCTTTTACACTTGAAAGCTGAACACATCACCATTGTAATAAAGTTTATACAAAGTTCACTACACATAACAAATTATTAAAAATCGCTAAAATTGTCGCTGTTGACGATGTGGTGACTTATCCGTAGGCTCCAAAATGATGGCGTCTATCGTAACAAATTCTGGTGCAGCCCGTATATGGGATTTATGTCCTTGGCTTCTTTAGTCATTGATGACACTAATATTATGGAATAAGTATAAAAGATAGTAATGAAAGTATGTTGTTATAAAAATAAATGCATGATAACTAAATTTAAAGATGATAGACTTACCATTGACCCATTTCCAAGTTCTGGATGTAAGTCCCGGTTCTTTCTGAGCACCGATCCACACCAACTGCGTTCTGAGAGTTGGTTTTCTTCGTTCAAGCTCAGCATAAATGAATGACGTTTGGCCTGGGTTCATGCCATGTACCAAGTCACCATTGTGACCTAAATACAAATAAGTTTCGGTAAGTTTTACACAGTTACAAGTTAAGTTATTGTTGTATACACATAAATATAATATTTAATAGGTGTATGTAGTTACTTTGGCAATATGCTCTGGCTTCCTGGAAAGATTCTCCTCTAGTTACACCCAATTCGTAGCATGTTCTGGCGAAAGCAGCAAGTTGGGCTTCTTCGGGAGCGTCTTTTGGTGCACATCTATCTACAGAAAATTCTGAAACAAAAAGAGGCAAATTAATTTCTGTCATATCTTATTAGAACTGCCAAATTTTTTAAAACAATGCTAAAATTGATAATAAAATAAAAAAATGAACGCTAATATTATTGAACTGTCAAATAATATCAACCGCTGTGCGTGGTTAAAAGTATGCAGTAAGCATTAGTATAATTATAGTTTTACTATTAATTAGTAGGTATATAGTATTAATAACCTGTATTAAATTAATTAATTAATGAGATTATGGCATTCGGAAAAATGTTAAATGTAGTGGAATAAAAAAAACGAAAACAATTAATTATAGTTTTAATGTAATAATTGTAATTAAATGGTATTATAAAACAAATAATTTTGTGTTTTGGAGGTGCTTAACCTAGCACAAAGTTGGATAAAAGCTATGTTAATTTATGATATAAAATACAGGATGTTCCATTTGAAATAGGGTGAGAAAAATATAACATCTTCTTTTGAATTACCCTGTACCTAAAAAGCAATTTAGTCTATTTACATATGATCATTTTTCAATGAAATAATATTGGAAAATGCAAAAAAAAGCATGAATAATTTACACTAGCATATTTAGAACAGGCATTTTTTTACGAATAATTTAGTATCACACACTTGGAATTTCGAGTCAAATTGCCGTTATGAACATGTTACATCTTCAAATAAACAATATGCGAAAATGTCAACAGTTAACATATGATATGTCATTCTATTCAGAGAGTCATTTTCATTTTCTATCGAGTAAAGTACAAAAAAACCGAGGGCGTCATTTAAAAATCAAAAGTTGTAGTCATTTCCGGTGAAACAGGAAGTGACCAAAAACAATTGAATACGTCAATAAATCCTAATTTCTGTCATCTACTAATATACCAAATCTTGTTTTTTTATCTGAAAAAATAAAAAAGTTTTAGAGGTGAGTCACTTTTAAGACGGACCCGGTATATTAAAAAAATCTGTTAGATATAATATTCTTTAGTTAATAAAATTTTAAAGTTTCTATATAAACATGGATACAATATTGTTGAAATCTCTGCAACAAAACTCTTTTACGATTATTGAAATATAACAAATGTAATTGGAATGCAGGCTTACAGCAACCACATCATTATTTTTATATAATTTTAACATGTCTGTAACATTCGACATACGACCAATCAGAGCGAAAATATTTTCAAATTAATTATAACCTTCATGGCGAATTGACTGCATCTAAAATTAGACTATCTTACGAGATCACGAGTAATAACAGAAAAAAAATAATAATGACAAAGGAAAGTAAGTATGGTTTTGAAAGTAACAACATTCAAGTTTGAATGGTGTCAAATATAGAAATATTAGTCTGATTGATAACATTATTTCCGGCATATAATATACTGTGTGTTATATTTTTTATTGTCAATATTCTCCAATATAATATTGGTCTTACTAAATTTGAGAATTATTAATTTTTAGAGGTTCCCTCTTCAGAGGTTTTACTTTATTAATTTTTATATTGCATTTTTATTTTCTGTAACAGTAGATATATTATATCTACACCTAGATATACCGTGTGATCGAGAAAAAACGGCGTCAAAAACGGCTGGGAAATGATAATTGATGATAATTTGGCCCGATAAATACTTGGCCCGTTCTAAGTAATGGCATCTAGGGCTTGACTTCGCCCAAATTATTTTCGATTGTCATTCGCAGCCGACTTTGACGCCATTTTTTTTTTCGATCGTATGATATTTTAAACAATACCAAAATTGTATATTTATTTCTGTACTGAGCATAATTATTTTAAGATAATTAGAACATATTTTTTTTATTTCCAACAAAAGTAACTTACGTAAAAACATCCTTGTTTAAATGCGTTTCCTACAATTTATTAATACCAAATAGAGACTATATTAATGCTGACCATAAGGTTTCACTGTTTTTTCTGTGCCCTTCCCCATAACCTTGAATAAAAGCTTTTAAATATATCCATTTAAAATAACTCTTTCATATAAATACATTTATTCATTTTTATAACAAAAAAGAAATAAGAAGTAACCTAGACGTTACAATGTTGTTGTAATTATATTAGGCCTTCACACTGTTGCTATTATGTACTTAATTTTTTTTTTCTCATACGATTTACAGGTGGTAAGTTTAAATCACGATTTTTTGTTTGTTTTAAATAGTTTTTATAAAAAAGATTTATTCTCCATCGCGGTCTTCCTTGGAATTTTTATTCCGATGGTACATACTACGACATATTATACAGGGTGGTTTGAACTGTAGTAGTTCTGGAAACTTCGGCGGATATTAACGTTACTTCATAAATTATTGGGAAGACATCTCGAAATAAAAATAAAATTTCTACACCCTGTATCTCCGAAACGAAGAATTTTAGGACATATATATTTATACAAACTTTTTTACTTATTTTTATCTGCAGAATATGCTGCCGATGTTTCCGGAATGCAGGTCGGACCACCGTGTTTATTTAATTAAAGAGGTTCATTGTCCATGTGCTTGTTGATGTCTCCTACTTTTAGTGCTAATCAGATGATTTTGAATGGCTTTGTAGCATTTATATAGTTACTACTGATTTTTTAGTGCATTATAAGTTAAATCTATTATTATATTAAGACGCATTATTAATATAATCCTCCAAAAAAGAAATTTACAGTGAATTTTAAAAATCTTCATACCTACCTGTATTCTTATTTTTTTGCGCCACTTATTCATTTATACTTTGTATAATCTCCATAAATTAATAATAATATAAATAAACAAATATTAACTTACCATCAGTAGTGAACACCTCAACCTCACAAAGAGATAATGAACCTTCTACACCAACAAGTTGCAGAAAAACGTACTGGCCAATGAGAGATCTTGCACAAGTAAACGTCTTTGTAGATCCTTCATCTGAAAAAAATCAACATAAGAAGAAAGTATTAGAGACAGTGTTAAAATTACACTAATCAAAAGATTTACTCCTCATAGCATTAAAATAGTTCTTCATAATTACTTTCATATTTATACCTCCTTTCACAATAATTACTTTAAATTAATAGGTTCAAATGAATCAGAAATAAACAAGAATACATGATTACCAGGAAGTGATCGGAAAATCACTACAATCAGCATTATTTTAACATCGTTCAATGATTTTAACATCACGATATTTCAAACCATACGTTTTTCATATAAAAAATAGATGATCTCAACAAAATAATGGAAAAAAAACACACCACTATTCTGCATATCGTGCAGATTGGTAATTAAACCAGAAAAAGGATTTCCTAAATGATGTAATTCATTTTTTTTTTTCAAAAAAAGACTTATTAATGTATTTAATTAGGGTGTTCGTTGTTAATTACCACAGAGCATGGATGAGATTTGCATCAGAATGAGAGGAAGTAACTAACGCTGTGAAGTTATTTTTGTCTGCAATTAACTACAGTTAATGTGACATAAAAAATGAGTTGTATTGTTAAAAACTTGCATCTTTAGAGGTAGTGCTTTAATTATTAACAATTTTTGATAATTATATAAACAAAAAACATTTTTTTGTTTATATAATTATAAAAAAATTGTTTGAAACAAATAGCATGTTCTATTTGGAGTAAAAATGTACTTTTTGTCCAACGTACAGCCCCTTTACAAATGTATCATTTTTGCTCCTAATAAAACAATATACCGTATGATCGAAAAAAAAAACGCCGTCAGCGGTGGCTATGAAATGAAGATACCTGTCCTTTTATAGATAAATTTATATGGAAAATGTCATAGATCCTCATTTCCCAGCCAACTAGACGCCGTTTTTTTTTCGATCATACGGTACTATTAAAAAGGCCTAAAACAAAAAAATTAAATAAATTGTTATTAACAAGTACCTATAGTTCCCGGGAACCAAGCACATAAAGGGTTCCTCTGCAAATCAGTACTGCTGTTCCCTACTCTGATCTCCAAGTCTTGTAAGGGTTGATGACCACAACAACCCCTAGTAGTCACCCTGACCACTTTAACGGGGTACGGCCTCAAAAGGTCCACTTGCCACCAAGGACTGGCCTCTTTTTGAGTTTCTGAGCATTTTTTGCTGTCGTGTTCAGTGCTACGTTCGCCATCGTTGGCGTTTAGAGCACTGCCACCTCTAACTGTAGTGGATTGGTTTGCTGGCTTACGGAAAGCTATGTTAACACCTGAAAAATAAACATTTTTCAAGTTAGATCACGTTGCTTTGTGAATTTTTTGAGTTTATTTGGAAAAAAACATTGTATTCCGATGTTCAAAAAAAGATTTTTTACTTGTTTTCTCCAAAAATGGAATTTAAAGACAAAAAAATAGAAAGAAAAAACACAGAATGATATTTTCCTTAATTTTAAAACTCTCTAACATGTATAACATCTTAAATAGTGAATAAAAATAAACTTTGAGGGAGTGGTTCCTTTTGAAGAAGTAGGCTTGTGTCCATCAGCAGATTACCATAAGCTGAAGAAGTATGATTCTTGGAATAAGGGACATAAATTCAGTATAAAATAATATAATTCGCTCTAAAGAATATATTAATACCAAATTATAAGGAGAAAATATTGTGGAGCTGGTCCCTTTTGAAGAAGAAGTAATCTGTTTACCAGCAGTTTACCATAAGCTGAAGAAGTATGATTCTTGGATTGGAGGGCAAAAATTTGATATGGGATATTATAATTATAACCAAAAGAATAAATTTAAACCTAATAATGACGAAAAAACCTCGAGGGACTAGTTTCTTTTGAAGCCGAAGGCTTGTGTCCATCAGAAGTTTACCATAAGCTGAAGAAGTATAATTCTTGGAATAAGAGGCATAAATTCAGTTCGAAATAGCATTATTTTCACTAAGAGAATATATTAATACCTAGTTATAACAAAAAAACCTTGTGGGGCTGGTCCCTTTTGAAGAAGAAGGCTTTTGTCCATCAGAAGTTTACCATAAGCTGAAGAAGTATGATTCTTGAGGTGAGGGGCAAAAATTCAGTATGGAGTATTATTATTATCCCCAAAATAATAAATTAAAACCTAATTATAACGAGAAAACCTTGTAGAACAACAATAAATCTTTATTAACAAAAAATCCAGCTATATTCTCAGGATTTTACGAAAAACACGCCGTCTATTATTATGCGGCTGTACTTCTATGATGACCTTGTATAATCTAGGTGTAATAATTAATACTGTAACAGGTATGTGCGTTCTTTCCCACCCAAAACACCCACGCAATGATTATTTAAGCATCTAATAAAAACATTTTCACAACTTTTACACTACTCTCTCGTGTAAATTCTTCAAATGTATTTAAACCCTTTTTTCTGAAAAAAATAATACATTTTTTTTGTTATGCCGAAGGTTTTTGTACTGATTTTATTTTAGTTTTATTTAACTTTGTATTGAGTCTATCATGGAGTTGTTATGGAAGAAACTTAATCATATTGAAATTCCGTTGCAAAACCAGGCGAACCAGACCGGTAAACTACGGTAAAGAGCGGTTCCTACGGTTGGCGTTTTCTAAATTTCAATACCTTTATTATAAAATTTATCTTTTATGTATTTTTAATGTACCTATTCTCTGCTTTTACGTTTGCTTCGTCTTTCAATGGAGTTTAATTAAAAATTACTTTATTAATAAACTGTTAAACTCGTTAGACAGCTCAAGTGACGATTTGTAGGTCCAATATTAAAACAGATCAATAATAAATAAACAAATCTAATCAATATTTATATTTTTATAGCTTAAAAAACATTCACGATTACTTGTTGTCTTGTTTTTCATGTTTTCCTTAAATGTTCCTGACTTTAAGAAACAATGGCTGCATGATAAGTTTAAATGGTCCTAAAAAGTCTTTCTATTTAGATAATAAAATTTATTTACGTGGATGCAATCTGGAATATGTACAAAAATCCAAAAAGTATGATCAGACAGGGGAAGTTCCTATCGGAATCCTTCCTGACATCTAAAGGACTTAGACAGGGGTGCAGTTTATCACCTACCTTATTTAAAATATATATCCAGGAGGCATTGAAAAACTGGAGAAGGAAGAGTAGAGCTCTGGGAATAGAGATTGACAACCACTGTCTATCGACCTTGTTCTTTGCAGACGACCAAGTTATTGTTGCAGGTTGTGAGGAGGATGCCGACTATATGTTGAGGAAACTTGAGGAAGAATACGACAGATATGGGGATTCAATATCAACCTCACAAAAACCGAATACCTGAAAGTAGGAGAAGAACAAACTGAAGATCCTGAACAACACATACATGAAATTAAAAGGTGTAGCGAATATAAATATTTAGGAAGTATTATATCTGAAGAAGGGAACTCCAAGAAAGATATACATAGTAGAGTTCAACAAGGTAAGAAAGTAATCCGTCTTTTAAACCATCTCCTGTGGTCAAATAAAACATCCATCCAAACAAAGATAAGGATTTACAAAGCAATCGTAGAGCCAATTTTAACATACGGTGCCGAATGCTGTCAATTTACAGCAAAAGAAAGAAGGATGGTCGAGTCAGTGGAGATGGACTTTCTCAGAAGAGTATGTCGCATATCAAGGATGGCACACATTAGAAATGAGGAGATCAGGCAAAGAACAAGGCGAATATATACCAGCACCGACAACATCGAATCGAGACAGCTACTATGGTATGGGCACGTAAAAAGAATGGGAGAGGAAAGATGACCAAAAAGGGCAATGGAGTATCGTCCCCAAAGCAGAAGGAAAAGAGGAAGACCTACAACTACGTGGTTAGATGGAGTAGACCAGTATATGAGAGACAGAGCTATTAACCAGGAAGAATGGCAAAATCGAGCAATATGGAGGTCGAAATGCGGGATGCGGCAGAAGCTGTGGACCCCGCTTTATGTATATAAATTTATTTACCTTTACTGCCTACCCCCGTTGCTTTTGGCTGTAAATACAAAATATTATTACAAATTTTAGAAATTAAATGAGAATTTCACTCGAACTTCCAATATTTGCTTGATTTGTGTCACATAAATGACATTGACTGACAAACAAAACCAGAAAAACCAGCCTTCTTGCGCTGGTTAGTTTGGTGCCAGCTATAACCGAATTTTTCAGGTACCGTATTCCGTAATAAGAAAACTTTCAAGAACCGATAGAAACGGAACATAAAACCATAACCAAGGCAAGCAACGGAATACACCCTATAAGTGTTCTTACCACAAAATGGTAGGTCTCCTGTCCCTGCCCCGATGAAGAACACGATATTTGTGTATTTCCGAAAGTTTCGTATCCTTCATCACACCTGTACGACGCGGTGGTACCCGGTGCCAAAGCTGGCGAGCTCAAGGTCATGCGAGCGTTCAACGGCACGGGTGGATGGCCACATTTTGTATCTGAAAAATAGAAAAAAAAACAGATATAAGTAGGGTGTTATGGTGAAATGGACGTAAAAGGTTTTAAAAGCGAGTTTTAAAAAGTAAAAATGTTTTGTTTTGGTTATCTGGTGTCGTTATACCAATCTGAGAAAGAAGTTTATGTAAAAGAATCCATATTCTTTTATGTTATATTTTATATTTTAATTATATTTTTATCCATATAAAGTAACAAAGAACAGAGTTAAAATATAATTAATGTATTTTTGAACTTCTGAAAGATATATAGGTATATATTCTTCTAAAGTAGGTCTCCAAATGGATTTAGCAGAACCTAAATTAATATACTTATAATGAACTGGTACTATACAACTAAGTTTTAAGAAAATACTGTTCCCTATATAAATTTTACTATGAATTTGGTGAAACAAATTTTAGTCTATATACTGACAGCCATATTATTTTTTAGGGTTCCGTACCCATAGAGTAAAAACGGGAATCCTATTACAAAGATTTCGCTGTCCGTCCGTCCGTCCGTCCGTCTGTCACAAAGATCTATCTTATGAACCGTTATAGCGAGACAGTTGAAATTTTTACAGTAAGTGTATCTATGTTGCCGCTATAAGAACAAATATTAAAAACAGAATTAAATAAATGTTCTTTCACTAAACATTATCTTTTAAGTAAGAATTTTACATAGAATCCTCGGTAGCCTAAAGCGTTAGGACTTTACGATGCTATGACGTTGGAGCCGTAGTAAGGCAGGTTCGAATCCTAGTCAAGGCGACTTTTTTTAATCGTTTTTTTTTTAATTTTTACATATTTTTACATATTTATTTTTACTTTTTAGCCGACCATACCAATAGGTATGGTAGGCTATTGAGATCGGCAAAAAAAAAGTTTTTTTAATTTCACTCAAAATGAGTTATTTGGGTCATAAATGACCTAAATACAAAATATTTTTATGGTGTCTGTCTGTCTGTCAGTCCGTCCGTCTGTCTCTCCGTCTGTAACATGATAACTCAAAAACCGCTGAGCCGATTTTAACCAAATTTGGCACAAAAATACTGTGGCACCCGAGAATCTGGCCATTAGATTTTGGTGGGGGTGGGGGGTTGGTAAGGGGGTATGGGAGGGGGTTAAAAATTTAAAAAAACGTAACTCCAAAATTACAGTAGCTAGCGAAACGCGGTTTTCAAATTAAGATTAGGAATAATATTTGCAACAAAATTTGTAATAACATCAAAATCAGTCAAAGTCGCAGTTTTCGAGATATTAACATATTTTAGTATGGGCGGCTATATGTGCCTCCCGGCGTCAATTTTTACATATTTATTATTGATTAATACAATTTTTAGTAATGTGTTTCTTCATTTTTTTTAAATTACTTATACGCGCATTCAAAATTACAGCTAAATCGGAAAAAAAGTTTATAATAATATACTGTCTAATGTTGTATAGATAATGAATGGTACGGAACATTTCGTGCGCGAGTCCGACTCGCACTTGACCAATTTTTTTTTGATATCTGTTCCATGTACAGGGTGTCCCATTTTCGTCTGTTTTACAGGGTGCCTTGTTTATGAGTAGAGCAACAATGATGTGGTTTTTATTTTACTCATAAACGAGGAACGAAGTAAGACACACGAAAATGGGACACATTATACAGATATTTCGTCCTGCACTGATACATCTATTAATATGCTCAGTTAAAATGCTTGTAAATAAGATTTTCTCTGTTTATATGGAGAAGCTTTTTAGCATCTTCCTCTAAAGGTTTTATAAATTTTTGTCTTGCCTTTTCTCTCAAATGTTTTTTTTTCCAGTCCATTTCATTCTTTTCTCAATTAATTACATGCCTTGTTTTTAAAGCATATTTTCGAAGTTTTTATTAGAAAGATAGTATTTCTATAAGATTGAGTTAATAAATAAACTCACCACAAAACTACAACTAATTTCTTATCGACATTTTCAAGCTTACTGGAACATAGATATACACTTATTTTTTACAACGTCCTAGTTTTACGAATGAATAGACACAAAGAACAAAAAGACGAAATGACTACTACGTCTTAATATTTTCTACCAAAACAACGGTTAATAGAATTCTAGCAAAAAGTAGCGAGCAATTTTTCGTAAACGATCCTACAATGAGAATGCGTTTCTAGGTTAAACATTAAGTGGAATTCGTCACAAGTTGTTAATTGTTCTTATTTTATCAGACACACGTATGGAGGTCTGCCCGTTAGATGAGAGCTTCTGTTGGTTTGTTAAATGAATTGTACAGACGTTAAATTTACAACTGTCTTTGCTATACGCAGACAGCATAATTTATTAATTTATTCAACCTATTAATTCAGATGCATCATATTAATCTCGAATTTTTGTTAAATAGTTTTTCTCCTACAGCCACTACTTATACAGACGTTACATCTATACATGCATATAAATATATAATAACACACGCGTGAGTTTTTAAAGTTATAACAAACTAGTGTGTTATAACTTGAAAGCCACACCATTTTATACAGGGTGAGTTTCCTACGATGTTCTCTATGGGTATCTCGGAAACTACTGGAGATAGAGAGTCGGTTAAATGGGGAAAGAGTTGCAGTTTTATCGGGTCATAAATATGCGCCTTTCAGATTTTTGAAAAAGTTCATGGCTTACTAGATATTTCGAAAAAAACAAATTTTTTGGCTATTTGAAAAATTGTCCCTAATTCCATTATAAGCTATTTTAGACAAAAAGTTTTCAGATAAAAGTTGTAGATAATCACATCCTTAATGAGACTGTCTCCTCCGTTTTTTTCTAAAGCCTGTCATTTTTGACATATGACACAAACATAGGTTTTTTTAAATGGAAACCATAGTTGGCCATGACTTCATAAAAAGCGCCATTTTTTAAGCTTTTTAGTGATATAAGCTATAATATCTTTTCTTCGAAAAATTACTGAGTTATAGCCACTTCTTATCATTTTTCAACAAATTCACTTAGTTAGCCATGGAAACAAGTTCAATCGCCGTTGCTCTCAGAAATGTGAAGCTGTCACATCGAAACTTTGTAAATTAAAATAAACAAAAATTGTAAATATGAATTTTTCAAATGAAGAAAAACGGGTAGATACTCGCGCATCAATAGAGTCGTTCCAACATGACCTTCCATTATGACACACCACCCCACCCCCATATAATCAGAGAAATCAAAAATTATTTATATCATAATTATACACAGAAACGCGAGATAGGAAGAGTGGACTAATTGCATGGGCCTCCCTAACCTATCCATTTTAAAATTTTTATGCGGTATAGTTAACAATAAGGTTTACAAAGAACTTATGAATTAGAGGCACTAGAGGTGCGGTACGAGAAAAGTTTAATTAAGTCGACCGGTCCTTCTATGAGAATGTAGTAATTCAGTTTTACAAAGATGCAACCCAAAACAATGGCGGATTTTTTGAACATTTTCTAAAATAACTTAAAGTGTATGTAGTGATATTATTTTTTTAAGTATTAGTTTGTGTAATGTAAATTGTAAAGAACCGTAACAGCAACGGTGATTGAACTTGTTTCCATGGCTAACTAAGTGAATTTGTTGAAAAATGATAAGAAGTGGCTATAACTCAGTAATTTTTCGAAGAAAAGATATTATAGCTTATATCACTAAAAAGCTTAAAAAATGGTGCTTTTCATGAAGTCATGGCCAACTATGGTTTCCATTTATAAAAACGTATGTTTGTATCATATGTCAAAAATGACAGGCTTTAGAAAAAAACGGAGGAGACAGTCTCATTAAGGATGTGATTATCTACAACTTTTATCTGAAAACTTTTTGTCTAAAATAGCTTATAATGAAATTGGAACAATTTTTAAAATAGTAAACTACTCAATATATTAGGAAATGGGAACAAAGTGTCGCCAATATGGATACCGGAACATGTCGACCTAGAGGGAAACAAACGTGCTGATTCCCTCGCCAAAACTGGTGCAGGCTCGCCATTCGTGGGCCCAGAACCGACACTTAGCGTACCAAAAAATCTCGCAAGAGACAGGCTCTGTGAATGGGTTAGGGGTGCGACGTTTCGGGATTGGTATGACAATCCCGGAATGGAACATGCCGAGACATTCCTAGCAGGGCCATCAAAACGTAGAACAGACGAACTCCTAAAGGCTGGTAGCACACACCTACAGAGGATGGGACTGGTGGAAGACGCCGAATGCCGACTCTGTATGGAAGATGACAAAACAATGGACCAGGTTTGAGGTGTTTGGGAAACCCACGCTAGACCTATCAGACCTAGAAGACGCGACATAACGGCCTATGTTAAAAGGCTGGGACTTGAGGGTGAACTTTGATGCTCTTTTTCTATTAAAGAGCTTGTAGAAACTGAGCCACAATAGGCCCTCGCGGCTGCAGTGGAGGGTCCCACCTGGGACCCACTCTAGGTCAAATACAATACAATACAATACAAGAAAACACACTAGTACCATAAATAACTAATTTTCTTGGACGTTCTTTTAAATATAAGTATATTTTTAATTGCATTGGGATTTTGGTTCTGTTTATAGTCGAGCTTAACACCAAAAAGGAGATGTTAACTTAAATTACTTTTGCTTTTAAAATTTTAAAATAAAATCTCATTTATTCAAAACAATCAAGCAAAGTTACACTAAACTTATTAAAATTATTTTTCTATTGTAAACAATAGTAAAAGCTGAGTAGTAAAGTAAGAGCTGATAGTAAAAGAGATATAATTTACTTTTCTTAATTAAACAATTATACAAGAAAAAAGTAATTCTTTCTGAATCTCACATTATTTTAACCACTAAGACGTTGGAGAAATCATAACAATATTCATAAATAAAGAGACAGTCTCAGATGTGAGACCGTTAGAATGTTCAAATCTACACACTTTCTCTTAAGATATTCTGTTAAAAATACAAAATTCTTCCTTTTTTTCATGCAAGATACGCAGGATATAGAAAGTAATAATAATTATAATATTTTAATTCTTTTTTTTT